TATCAATACTTCCTTTACTACTCTGTATGAAATCAAAGCTTTTACCACTGGGAATGCGTAAAGCTCCAGTGGAGCCTTGCATTGAAAGAATGAGTGATAAGAGCTGCTGATGTGAGGACGGGGTGAGATAATATGACATGGAACAACATTCTTTCTCTCCCTGCCTCTAGTGCTGTTGAACCTACATTACTCCCTCACACTGGCCTGATGAATGCACGTTTATGTTGTAAGAATCTAGTTTTTTCTTGGTTTCAGTGGTTTTGCCTGAATATTAACTTGGATTCAGTGTGCTTCACATTTTATTTGATCCATTTAAAAGCTGATGCTGTTTTTTTTTGTCCTTGTGATTGCTCAAGGCTGGCCTTGCATGACATGAACAAAAATACATGCTGGCTGGATACTTAACTTCACCTCTGTTCACTTTTTTCTTTTTTTTTCTTAGTCTCCTGAGGCTCTCCTTTCCTGCAATCAAATCCAGTTTTGGGCACAAAACTCAGTTTTGTTCTTTGATCTGGTTCCCAGGCCGAACTTTGCCTTTGATTATCTGCATTTGCTGATTTGGTTCTATTTACCTTTCTTCTTAATGCCTCACTTTTGGTGGAGTCTTTGGAGCATCACTTAGTTTCTACCGCTTTTTGTTTTAATTTGAAAAAGTTAGAATGCTAGCATCAAACCGTGGACTTTAGTCCTAAATAACTAAACATCATGTGGAGTGAGTGTAGATAGGGTATCTAACTGGACTTTAGTTGGAGGTCAAACACTTGTACGGATGTTTGACTAGTGATGTGACTTAGCTTGAAGTTATCTCACCACTGGATACCAGAAATTACTGCTGTGGGGGCTTTATAGGCAACCACGTGGAGATGGTCAGAATTAGCCTTAAATGATCAGCTTTTATTAGTTGATATAAGTTTTTTATATATTATCTCCGACCTGAATACATTTTGAAGACATGTATTCTGTGTTAGCCACCACAGAAATCCAATCATGGATTACAGTGTGCCATTTAAGCCAGCATTTTGTTTAGGTTTAACACTGAGAGTGCACTTTGAAGTAAAAGATGGTTTAACACTGTTTTCATTACCTGTCTTTAAACAGCATTGTGTCAGTTACCCAAGTTTTAGCTTAATTTAATATGTAAAAAGTTTTCCAGGTCAATATACAGCACTTGTAGCCTGATAAACCAGACTAAATGTGAGATTAAATATGTAATTTAGTCGGGCCCCAATGAATGAGACATCGGAAGATTGTTGATGAGAACAACCCGTTGTTTTTCAAACCATGTCTGTGCCTATTGGCCAACGCTGACCAATGAGCGCAACTGACTGTGACGTAGTAAGCGCGACAGAAAGCTGGTGGGGGAGTGTAAACAAACAGCCTGTTGGTAAAACGGCGAATACGTCCCTCTTAAAAATGAATGAGCGTAGAGCCTCTTCCTGCTCACGTTTCAACAAAAAACCCAAGTCTAATCCTTCCAAAACTGATCCCAAAGTTAAGTCAAAAATCGCCATCAGAGCCAGCAGTCCTTCATATACGACTATGCCGAGTGAGGGCTGCTGCAGACGGGCTGCCGTTAGCCTCTGAGGTCCGCTGGTTGCCGTGGTCCTCGCAACTTCGGAAAATAAATTTTTTTATTATGCATTAAATCAGAAAATGGACTATATGGTGACGCTTTTAAGTATAATAAATAATCTAATTATCTTAAAACGTACTTTTATTGAACAACAGCAACAGAAAAGAGAACTTTTAACTTTCAATGGAGCGCCACATTGAAAACTGCTGCCGCTGTGCATGCTACTGTTCAATAGTTGTTGCAATCTTCTTTGTTGTGCTTTTTCCAGCGTTGCACAGCTCTGTCGTCACGCCCTCAAAACCCCGCCCACTTTGCATCCAGAAATTCAAAACACATTTCTGTGTTGTGATTGGCCCGCCAGTTCTAGGGCCTAGGGCATTGATCGAGGCTAGACCACTCACAGGCAGAAATGATTTTGGCCGCTGGTGGGCGGAGCTAGTTTACTAGGCTCAATGCTCTATGCAGGCTTTCCTTTGCAAAAACTCACCTATCTAACTTTAGAGTGTTGAATCCATCGCTGAAAGAGTCGTCTGACCTGGAGTGCCGCTTTACAGGAGTCCGCGCTCCCCTTAAACAAGAGCTAACCTAAGAAGTTGTTAGGCAACAAAACAGATACGACTTTTACCTGATCAAGCAATGTTTCGGTTCACTGAATGTAGAATCAAATCTAGAGGTGTGAATGTGGACTTGTCCTTATAAGTAACTCCATGGCTTCTCAATCTGCTGGTCCAAAGTGGCCTGTAATCAGATTGCAAAACATGGAAGGAGACGGTTTAATTTTATGAAAGGTTCACCAGCTGTTTTCAGGAGCGATAAACCTGGAAGTTAAAGGTCTAGATCCCCTAGTGGCTAAAATATACACATTATTGCTTTAATGCATTTAAACCTGCTGCTCCAGTGTTGCGTGTGTTGAACTGGAGCCGTGCCTGTAAACGGCTGCTTTTAGCTCTTCGTTAAAAGGAAAGATTAATTTCATTTTATCTAACCTTAAACTAGACTAACAATGTAAAAATAGATGTTTTTTAGAATAGAATAAAAATAGAATAGAAAATCCCTTTATTGTCCCACAATGGGGAAATTCTGTACCTTAGAAAAATGTGTAAGAATAACATAATAGTGAAGAGTTAAATGATAAACAATAAAATATTGTACGGTAAAGTGTTTTAACAATATAAAACTGCACCTGGAGAATACATAACCAATATACAGCTATGGACATTTTTACTGTAATGGATATTTGAAAATAGCAGCAACATCAGAGATATTTAACTGACTAAGGTAGAAACTGTCCAAAATCAGCATGAATGTTACAAGTTATTGAGGTTGTTGGAAACAGTGGTGGTTGTAGAGTCTTACAGCTGCTGGGAGGAAGGATCTGTGATAACGCTCCCTGGTGTATTTAGGGTGCAGCAGTCTGTCACTGGAACTCTCTATTAAGTTAGCTTTAAATGAATACTAGCTGAAACTAAAGGCGCTAATCATGACTCTGATTTCATTTGTTTGCCTGAATATTAAAGTTTCTGCTTTTCTCCTCCACAATCTCTATTTACAGTTTGTTATGAAGGTTTAATAGTTTCTTGTTCAAAGAATCCTCCAAATTATACTAATAAAACTATGGGAATAACAAAACCTGTGGGATTAATTCTGTTTTTAATCCCTTTGTGGCTTTATTCTGTATTTTCTTAATTGATAGATAAAATGTTATGTTAAAAATAGGGATGCTAAACTATTTTAAATTAATTATAATTATGAATATAGCCATAGTATATAGCCAATATAAAATCTGCCCGTCTCCTCTCTTTGGTATATCTGTATAAATATATTATCATGCTGCTGAACCTTCCATAGGCGCCCCCTCCAATCATTCAGACACAATTTTAATCTGTGTGTGAGTTAGACCTCATATTCCCATCAGAACTGCCATAATTCTTTATGTCACACTTTTTAGAGTTCCTCTGAGATTTGGTCCCAAATGGACATGGATCTCCTATTTCCTCACATCTCTAAGTTGCTCTGTTGAATGAATTATTGTTATCTTGGATAGGAGATTGGAGCACACTAATATTCTTTGTTTAATAGATGCTAAGCTGAAACAAGGATGTACCAAGTAAAGTTTCCTAACAGTTTAGGAATTTCCACAGATCAAACTAACTCCAGCCACCTTCCTACATTTATTATTGCGTAAACCCACGTCTACCCGACTCTGATGTACTGTGTTGCTGCCATGTGATTAGCAAATGATTAATTTGTGTAAACCAGCAATTAAAGATGCACCCCTAATACAGTGGCCAGTTAAAGAAGATGGAATATTCTTCTCTGCATGTACAAAATGTGAGTTATACATTATTGTCATATCGCCTTCCTAAGGTGTGAGTTTTTTTCATTGTGGTACTAAAGTACTTTTCATTCACTCCATTAAACTTTTTAGACATATTTAAAAAATATACATATCGCTAAAAATCCTGGAAAACATAGATACGCAACACTAGAAATCTACATACAGAGAAGCACCAGGAAGGAGAGAATTAAAACTTCACAAATACTTAACATGTATTTTATTGAATATATTCCCCTAATCATATGTTTCTTTCAGTCCATGTTAACCAAATAGGACAAATCAGAAACATATGAGCAGATTTCTGTTGTATATTTATCTCAGTGCTTCTGTTCACTCGTCTCTCCCTGCAGCCTAATAAGGTACTGATCTCAGAATAGAGAGAAAGTGAAGAGGTTGAGTAGAAAAAACGGTGGGAAAAAGAAAAGAGTAAATCCCCCCCCACACATGTTTGTTTTGGTCGTTGCAAAGATTTTTTTTCTGCTTTACATCATATTTTTGTTTGAATAAAAACCACCAGCTGAAGGCAAAAGGGCAACATGGAATAAAGGACTTCAGCATAATGTAGATTTTAAGGAAGACAAACTCCCAAATGTTTGGACCCACTTTGATCTAACAGTTGGTAAACACAACACATAATGATAGTTGCTTTTGGAAATCCACATGAATGAGAGCAACATAACAATAGCCCAATATAGCAGTACATGAAAGGAATATTCTGATGTATTTTTTCTTACATTGTCTCTTTGCTTGAACATCAGAGACTTTAACAGAAAAGTAAAACTTCTGTTTGCACTGCATACATCCACCCATGAAACACAACCACAAACCCACAGAGCACATCCTGAAATCGCTCCTCTCTTTTACTTTTGCTTCCTCTTCAAAGGGAGACGCTTTATCCATGACAGACTGCTTTGTGGAAACCCGAGGGGATTTCTGTGTTTTAATCTCCCACGCAAAGTGATATCCCCTCACTGTACTGTTACCCAATGGCCTCATATGCTCTCAAGAAATAAGAATACAGTGTTTACTTAAAAAACACCCTTTTTCTTCTAACTCTTTAACCTGCATTAACTGTCTCCTTGGTTTAAGGCTTTAGAGATGCCTCAACATAACATGGAAACCTCGAGGAGCCAGTGGCAGCAGGGTCTGCTGCAACCATGGAACATCAGAGGGCCTGGAGGCCAGAGTCCCGCCTCCTCAGGGGCAGAGTCTGACACTGAAAGCAGCAGCACAGAGAATGAGAAGGTAAATGGATAGAGGTTAAAAAAAAAAAAAAAAAAGGTTAGTAGTTAAATTAGTCATACTTTTTATGCTAAATGCAATTCAGTTTCACTTTGTTTTCATCTTGAAGTGAAACAAACAAGATTCAGAACTAAAGAACTAAATCACCTTGTCTAAACTCAATACTGGGCAAGTTCACGGTTTACATTTGATTTATTGCTTTTATTTTTCCATACTGTTAGTCGTGCCTAAGGAAGACAGAGGTGAGCTCACTGAGGGTCCTTCCATCGCCTTCAATGCTTCAACATCGAATTACAGAGATCAACCAGCAAAAGGAAGAACTAAAGATTGAGGTGAGATTCTTAAATTTCTTCAAATTAGCCTGGCAAAAAAAAAAAAAATATATCATCCTAAAACAGTTTAAAGATCAAATAAGTTAAAATAATTGGATACCAACAAGTTAAAGGATTTTAAAACATGTTGGAGGTGTTGTTACATGACAAACTTATGCTCAGTGTAGCTTCCTATCGCATTGTTTAACAGTTTTCCACTTTGGAGTAAACACAAGTTTTTAATAACAAGATCTTGTCTGTTTCTTCAGAAATGTCTCTGAATAAATAAACAGGATCCTCATTGTGCATTTAAAGGTGTCCACAAATAAAAACCTACAACAGCTTTATTCTTTGTTAGGTTATCTGTTATAGGAATGTATAATTTGTCTTTCTTGTATTGTTTCGATTTAATATATTAATGTGAGTTGCCCGACTGACATGAGGTCCTGATCTTAATAGAAACATGCTCTCTACTTACTATTGGTATAGTTAAATTCAAGTGTTCAGGTGCAGGAAATATAAAAAAATGTGAAGTAAACATGGAACTAGTTCTCACTAAGGTAGGTACTGGGGACTCGGGGTCAAATATGCTCCAGAACATTAGCTGCTTTATTCCAAAACTCTTTATCAAACAAATGGTTTACAGCTCTTGGACAGACAAAAGTCATTGTTAAAGAATGCATACCTCTGACTGGCTCAGCGTCTGGTTGATATGATTCAGCCTGGTCAGCTCTCTTGTCCTTTCAGCTGCAGCTGGAGATCGCCTTGCTGCAAGGAGAGCTGCAGACAGAGAAGAAGCAGCTGCACAGACACACACAGAAGCTGCTGGCTTTGCAACAAGCTAGAGAAAGAGAGAAGCACAAGCAGCATAAACAAACTGACAGACATAAGGTAACGTAACACTGCTAATATTATTTCAAATAAATATATTCATTTATTACCCTTTTTTATGTGAAAATATATGTTCGTATAACAGAGAACCACAAGAAAAAAAAAAACAGTTAAAGTTAAAGCTTACAGGATTCCAGAGAAAGCAAGTCGGAGCAGAAATGAACCATTAACACCAAAACAAGATCTTGTAAATGATAAAACAACCTCTGTGCAATAATCCTTGGGTTGACGGACTGCTGCACACCTGTTGGAGCATAAAATACTGTTAGAGCCTCTACAAACAAAGTTGTGAAATACCTCAACAGTTGTTTTAGGCTCTGTTTTAGTTTTGTTTTTGCTATGAATGAGAAATTCCTGTACTTTTGCTTTAATATGTTTTTTTTTTTTTTGCAAATGAAGGAAAGAGAGAGTTTGGAGAAGGAGAGGCAGAGGGTAGAAGAGTTGAAGAGGAGGTGTGAGGAAAAAGAGAAGTTGATCCCGAGTCAGCCAGAAAGCCAAAGAGAGCAGCTAACTCTGCAGCTGCAGCAGGTGAGCAGATGGCGCCACATCTAATGTCTTCAGCATGTTAGATGGTAATAAACGTTTTTCAAGCTGCTCATATAATACAAAAAAAAAAAGCTCAGGTCTTTTTCTCTGTGAGCGGAAACATTCATTAAATTAGGATCAGTGGAAAAATGTCCCATTGCTGCTCACTGTATGACCACAGCTGGAAAGATGATTCTCAAAGACGTGATGATTTGAGTATGAAATTATCTAAAGCTTGTTTTTGTTCATCTTAAAAGAAGACTTTTTTTTCACTTTTAACAACACTTTATTTAGACAACTCAAAACATATAAACAATTATTGACGTAAAACAAGTGTCAGTTAAAAATCACTATTAATTTAAAAACAAAATTCAGAATGTTTATTTTGGTTGTAAACCATAATGTTTTAAAAATCTTTTTTTGTTTGTTTTTTTTTTTTATCAAAGGGGCCTATTTCCTTTACTTAAAAATTTATGAACACCAAGCTTTTTTATGAAAGTACACTGTTTAATTTCTCAAATATTATATTTTCTTATAATACTTCGTGACATTATGGTCTGAGTGTTTAAAGCAGAGAAAACTCTTAAATACTTAATAACGGTAAACAGCAGCTTTCCCTTTGTCTCATTGCTTTCATTAAATCTGATTATTATTTAGACCTGATAGGACCCTTCAAAATAAAACTACTGATTCCTGAATCCTGGGTGTGTTGGCATCCATTCAGACATTGTTTTTTTCTCTCGCTACACTTTATTGTTCAATACCAGTTTAACCTGATGTGTGTATGCTTTTGGAGTTTGGCCCATTCCTGTACAGAATGAGTATTACTTTACCGAATGTGTCAGAACAGGATAAGAGATCATTGAAAAACAGTGTTAAATGATGGGCTTGGTGTAGGCTCCTTTCTTCTGTTCAAACATGTCACATTTATTGGAAAAGAAAGCTTTTAGAAACCAGTTTGTCAAAGCCTGCTTTAATAGAAATTGGCATAGATGTACAAAAAATATCTGTGTTCAGGACTTCAAAGTTGAAATCAGGAGCTATTTGGAACAATAATAGTTATCTGGCTTCTCTCTCAAAGTATTAAGTTGTGGGAAATCATAAATGAGTTTTATATGTGAAGTGTGTACATATGATAGAACTTTTTTTTTTTTTTTTTTTATCCATAGACTGGATCGTCTGCCGACTTTGAAAAACCAAGTGGAAAAAATAGTTTTAGGTCAAAAATTTTTTCGACATCCCCTTTAGGTATGCACGATATAATCTGCCCCCTATCGGTATCGGCCTTAAAACTGAATATTGGCCACCCCACAGATATTTAACCCGATATTTGATCAGCTTCTGAGTTTCTAAAGTCTAAAAAAAAAAAAATACTACTTTTTCTTCTTCCTCAAAAACTTATTTTTTACAGAATTAAAAACTTCTAAAGACGAGGGACAAAATATTGATACATTAAAATAATCACAATATCTTCATATGCTGATATATTGCCATTTAAAAACACCATATCAATCTCTTTTACTAATGAAATATTGCTATATGTCATCGTTATGCTAAGAAATATCCTGAAAATTCACGAAATTTTGCCATATTTTCATATGTTGATATAATGAAGCGGTACCAATCTATTTTACTAACAAAATCTCACAAGAATTTGCAAAACATCACGAGAGTTTGTAACAGAACGATGAAATTTCACGAGATTTTGAAAGTAAAATAGATCGATACCGCGTTTTTAAAAATCAATTTGATATCAGCATATGAAAATATATTTGAGTATATTATTTTTCAAAGTGTCAGAAATGGATAACAAAACTGCTATTTTCAATGACTACTTATTTTTGTCCAGCTTTAACATCGGTATCGATATCGGTTATCGGATACATGAGTTTTAAAATATCGGCATATCGGATATCGGCCAAAATCCCATTATCTTGCATCCCTAATCTCCTTTGATTTTAATATTGATATCCCCCTGCAAACATTTTGGACTTCTTAAGTTTTCTAGTAACAAAGTCTTTGTTCCTTCATCTATAAAGACCAAATAGATGGAGTGTGTGGTAATTAATCTTGTTCTTACGGTCTCTGCAGGTTCAAAGAGTTCTTTTTCATTGTTCCATTCTTTTTACCTGTGAAAATATACTGCTTTAAATGTTGCAACCAGCTTATCTTTAAATTGCCTGTTGTGTTCCTATATCTTTTCTAATGCTTCCTTGAAAACTTCTAATCCCAAACAAAACAACTGTTAACAAAATATATTAAATTTTAAAGAAATAATCTAATTAGTCAAATGACTTATTTTAGTTACTCAATTTTATTTAGTAGTATGCAATTAAATTGCTTGACAACAAAATGACGACACAGTTTCTAAAGTTTATTGATAAATAATTAGGAACTATCATTTTTTTTCTACTTCCCAAGTATATATCACATTGTTATGACATAGAACGTATCGAAAAGTAGGAATACGTAAAGGTTGCTGGCTGTGATGTGACAAACTTTTTATAACTTAAAATGAAATAAATTCATTTTATCATAACCGTTTTGTTGCTGAGCATATTTGGTTTATGTTACAATTCCCTACGTACTGTAAGTTGGTGTCTTCCTCATTGTCTTCTTTTAATTCCCACTATTCCCCCTAGGGACTACACTTTATCCAACAAATCGGAGACGTTCATAAATAAAATGGAAATATAACTAAGATATTTTTTGTAACCTTCTTGCAGGAGAAGGAGTCGATGGAAGCAGCCATCCGGGCTTTTGAGGACTGGGAGTTTCGTTTTTTGGAGGAAGAAAGCGGGATTGGTGAAGAGGATGAGGAGAAATACGGGAAACCGAAGGAGGGAAGGAGTGAGGGGGAGACTGATAAGGAGATCTCCAGGCAGCACCATGTGGTCAACATGGCACAGGTAATCAATTGTTCCCCATGTGGGAGTGTTTCAGAGAATTTCACAATTTGCTAGAGATTCACAACCAGTTTGCAGCTTATTAGTGAGTCATGTCCCTGTTAATCCTCACATAAAGTCTCTCTAAGTGATTACTTTGGATTTCAGATGTGTAAATAATGAAGATGGACAAGATGTTAATGCAGATTTAAAATGCAGCACAGGGGAATTCTCACATTGTGAGAACTTAACCCCCAAAACGTCCCTTTCCAGTTTTTTTTTTTTTTTTTTTTGCTTTTCTGGCTGAAATATTTCCCTGCAGCTGAAATGAATCTGCTTGACATTAAAAATAAGTAGCAGACAGAAGAGAGACTTGACTTTAAAGTTACTAACTTGTGCTCCTCATTCATTAATCACAGCACTGCTGGCTTTGCTCTTTAGTGCATTTAGTCAAATTAAACATTTACTCTGCAGCCAAGTAGATCACTGTTATCTGCAAAACCACCAAGGCAAGTTAGAACGAGTTTATAGACATTCGTGTATTTCTTTATAAGTTAAAGGGCACATCAGAAGTTTAAACTTGACCCTTTCCACCTAATGATGACATAATCCCGTACCACCAAGCATCACCCTAATTCAGTCAGATTAGTTTATATAGGAAGCTAATTACATCATAGGCCATCATGAGAGGAAAAACAGCTGAGGCTGGAGGAAAATAAAGAGGATAAAAGGATAAAACAAATGCAGATTTAGAAATATTTCAAGCTGAAGTTATTGAAAACATGGATATAAAGCCTTCCTTATCTACATCCCGCATTTGAAATTCACTAATCTTCTCAATAACAGTTCAGATCCAAATGTGGTCTTTTTGTTAGATATTTAGTGCATTAAACAACTATTACTTTTAAAGCAGATCCAAAGGTACAAAATCACTTTAAGTTTCTCCTACGGCCAAACTTGGTGTCTGTCCCTTTAGAATATTTTCCTGAGTAGTTTGCACACAGAATGAGTCAGGCTCTTTATGAGACAGTAAAGCTCTTCACATGATCACTTTTATGCTAACTAAAAAGGCAAGTTGACACATGAATAATGAATCTTTCCATCACAGGTTGGCAAATAAATGGAGCATCTGTTTAAGGACTGGCACACAATTTGTTTATAGATTGATAGACTTATAAATAGTTTTCTTTTAGTCGTCACATTATTAGATAGAGGTTATTAAAACCCATTTTTATTTTCACAGTTGGTACATTACAACATTTTTATCATTTTATTATGTTATCAATATTTTACTTCTGTACAGTCCTGTTTTTTAACAATTTAATAGTTCTTCTGTTTCCCTCTTTTTTTTTTTAAACATCTTTTTTCTATATATTTATTTTACATGAAAGATAAATAGACATCCCAAAGCCTTTTGTATTTAAAGTACAAAAGACACAGATGTTCACCCTATAGACTGAATAGAAAATATTGACATCGTCATCCATTGTTCCCTATAGGCGACCATTGTGTCACCTGTGTAGTCATTGCTCTTAAACGATAAACCACTTTCAAAGTTCCCTCTAACTCCTAAAATCTATAAAATCTTTAAAAGGCTATACTTATATACTGTATGTTGTTAGATAGGAACTGTAATATTGCTCTCCAGCTCCCCCTTTCTTTTCTAAGTTTAATATCTGCTGGGATTTCTACAATTACTTGAGTCATGACAGTTTATTATTAAGATGTATTATAATATCTGTCACAAAGATACAAAATACATACAGCTTAAAAGATTTAAAGTAGATTTTGGATTTCCACTTTTTTAATGGGTAAACATTGGCCTGATTTTTTTTTTATTTTTTATGGATAATTTGAACAAAGACACCTGGGATATTTCTTTAGCGTTGCATTGTTCCTGATGTTAACACAACATGCCATTGAGCAGTGTTAGGAACTAAAAAAAACACCTTGAACTGATGCAGAATAGATTGATGCAACTATTTTTTGGGGAGAAGAAAATTTGCTTTTTAATTTGCCATATGGAATTCCTATAAAAAAAAAAAAAACATATCTGGTCACAACAATGCTGAGTTCTTCCATAATTCGCCTCAGTATTAGAGTATTAGAGATGGGTTTGGAGGGGTTGGATTAGATGATAACTGAGATTTAATGAGACATGGGTGTAGGGCTGTTTTTTTTCGCCCAAGTCCTGAATCGATTCGATTTTGATTAATACAGTTCTAAATTGATTAATTTCGATTCGATCTCTTTTTATATTAATGAAAGTGGTTCAACTGTGTTTCACAATGTATTTTATCTTTTCCTGTCACATTAAACACAAAGTGCAAACTTGTAAATCAGACAGTTTAAACTTGAGGTGTGAACAAAACTGTTTCTTAAGTGCAAACTTGCTTGTGAAAAGTGAAAAAGTGAAGCCTCACTCGAGCAAGCAGACGTGACACAGCAGACATGCATGAGCTGCATTATCTCCACTGCACAAACCATATTTGCAGCGTTATCTGTAACAACTACAGGGTGTTTGCTGCTCAGCCCCCAATTGTTAATGTCTTCAGTCAACCTATTGGCTATATTTGCAGCTGTCTGGCTTGGAGTAATCTTGAGTGCATTTTTCCTGCTCATTTGAATGTGAACGTGACGCGCGTCACTATTAAACTAATCGATCTTATTCCCTAGACATCGATTTTGCAAAAATGTAAAGGAATCGATACAAAATCGATTAAATACATTATTTTTTTTACCCAGCCCTAATGGGTGTAGTTAACTAAGCTGTGCTGTGGCCAGCTGTACATGACTTCTCCTCTGTCTGTCTGCTTCGTATTGTGTCACATTAGGTGTCCTAAGTTAGCAGATTATATTATTATTTATGCATGTTATTCCAATATTGAATCACAGCAATTTTAAGAGAATATTAAAACTTGATTGCTAAAGATATTAGAGTACATGGCGTTTGTTCTGAGAAGAAATGAAAATGCAAATGTATGCCAGTCCAAGCCCATCATCATTTTTCTTTGAATTTTCAGGAAAGAGTTCAGCAGTTGGAGAAACAGTTGAAAGAGATGGAGAAAGAGAAGGAAAGTGAGATGAATGCATTGAAGAAGGAGAAGCGAGATCTCATCCATGCGACTCAAATGGTATGACGCATTACTGATACAGTATATGGTATTTAATGCAGTGTAAACCCTCCCTGATGTTAATAGGACTGTATGTGGATGTATAATTTGGTGGCTTGTGGAATGAGGTTCTTTAATAATCTGAAAAGGGTTTTTAGTTGTCTTTTTCAAACTATCACATTGATTCCACTGAAATAGCTAAATATTCACTAAAATTGATCTACAATTACAGGCAGAGATTATAAATGAATTTAAACATTAGTAATAATGCAGGCATGATAATGCATATCGTTATATATCAGTCTTTAGTTTTGTTTCCCTTCTTTTGCTCTAAGTCACATACAGTAGCAAAAGTGCTCTTTTCTTAAGTGTTAACATTTAAGTAAAATGGATTTTCAGAGTTGCGTAAAAGCATGCCACACAGTAAGTGTGTAAATCAATTCTGCTAAAAGAAGAGGTTCATTAAATTTCGACTATGCTTGAAACAAGTTCTGAAATGTTCTCTGAACTAAATGGCAAGTTAAAGTGCCCTCAGAGGCTACTGTGTGTTCTCTCTCAGCTTTGTTGTTATAAAATCCTTTGATACCTTTGAAATGTGGTGCACCTGTATGCACAATATATTGTCATTGATAAGTATTCCCATTGAATACATGGGTTCACATTAGAATGTGAATATATGTATCCTAACATCAGAGCTTGAACAATGAACTTCGTGCAGCCAGGGGAGTCAGATACTCCGTAAAAGGAGAGAAAGCAAGAAAAGAGGCCTTTGCACTATTACAACATGTCTTCCCCTTTTTATCCTTATCAGAACAAAATTGTGTGGAACCATTTACAGGGTTTTTATGACTTATTTAGAAAATCATATTAATATTATTGGCTATAATGTCCTGGTAAAATGGGCTTTTATGGCTATATAAATAAACTGAATTGGATCAACAGAAAATTTGCTCCTGGTAAATATGTGTGCAGATCAAGTAATGACCTGAATTTTATCACTAATCTACAATATTAACTGTGATTATTTATTAAATACTTGATCCTTATGTGGGAGGATTTCTCTTGGGCTTAGCTCCAAGATGAAGCTTCTTCTCTGCTTATCTGCATCTTTATGATCTCTCCTTTTGGTAAAAACAGAGGAAATCTGTGTGAAAGCTCCAGTATGGTCTTTGGGCGTATCACAAATTTACTCGGATTAGTATTTGATCCCTTTGACCTGGGAGCGCCCCTTTGCATCTGGGTTACCTGCTTTACATAGAGATGCATTTTTGAATACATGGTGGATGTTGAACAGCAAGTCTAGTTTCTTTGTCTTCAAGTCTGAATTTTAATCCTTCATAACAAATCAAGATTTGTATAATCTACAGCTGATTGATACTTATAAACCTTTTTATTTACTCTGTAGTTGAACTAAGTTTGGACTTGATCCCTTTGGAATCAGTTTTCAAGAAATGACAACATCAGTTATGATGAGGAGGAGACAAGATCTCAGAGAGGAAAAAACAAATCAGGGAATAAGTACAAGAGGGTGAGTGCAGCTTAAATTGGAGGGAGAGAACTAGGGAGGAGGGGAGGAGGGGAGGGTAAGAACAGAGGGAGGAGTAAAGCAACATGAGGGTGTTTGCTGTGGTTGTATGTATGTAGGTTTAAGCGTGTGTGGATGTGTGAGACTGAAGGAACCAAGCTGGGAGAAGTTTTATATCCATTCAGCGAAGGGTAAGCCAAACAAATGACCCTAGATTAATCTGTCATATGGAAGGAAATAAAAATTGAAGGTTAGTTAATAATGTCAGTGAAAGAAGGAGAGAGGGAGTAGGATGGGATGACAGAAGGGAGTGGCGTTTTAGAGGAGGAGAAAAATGAGACACATTTGGAACAATTTACTGGATGTGTGCAGGATGTTCCTGATTTCTGAAATATTTGTTCTTAAATGCTAACATTTTTGTGGCTGTGGGGAGATTAACAGCTTGTAAAGTAGCACATGCATGAGGAGGTAATCTGATTGGATCACACTGTTCTGGAAAGGGACATAGAAAATGTTCTTACAGATGTTTTACTTACAGTGGGGAGAAATGATCTCTTTAAATGCTTTTAACACATTTTCTTTACACCAGGCTCGTGTAAAGAGATGAAGAATGTCGACAGAAGTTAAAGACTGCACTTATTGTAGCCACTGAACCGCTTGTGTTTGTAACTCAAGCATGGCGGGAGAGTTTCAGGGAAGACGCTGTCACTTCATAGGACTATATCCATCTTGGATTTATTTCTGATTTAAATTGTCAGCTGGATGTGATATGTCCAACTTTTCACAACAGCCTTTTTTTTGTACTTTAACCTCATTGCTCCAGTTTTTTCAAGCACGTTTTTTCTAGTAAATGTCCATCTCATATCCGTTACTGAGCTTCGAAACTGAATCTGGTCCAACAGGTTCCTAAGGAGAAGAAGCCGCTCTCCGATTGGTCGAACTTCACCGGCTCAGCTCCTTGCATGATGTCACTCTCTCCTTTGACGATTCACAAGCCTCTACAGGTGTGCAATTGGTCAAGTCATTGTTGATTAATGTGTCTTGTGCAATGATACACTTCATTCCTGAAAGAACTGGAAAGATTTGAAAAAAGACGGTTACTGATGATCCTAAGATCGGGGGAATCTGCAGTGGCATCTCAATGGGACAACGTGTTTGTCAGACTTCAAAGAATATAAAGGGAGAAGGCGCATATGTTTTTAATATGTTAGTTTATAAACTCTTTAGATCCCAGATGGATCTACTGTCTAGTCCCTATGATGTGAAGAGGACTGCTCCCTGGAGCCTGTCCGATATAACAGACATAACCCCAAAGATGAGAATTTCAGTCAAAACTTTCAGTGTGCCCTGAAAGCGCTCATAGTGTTAAACTTATTATTTTTTGGTCTGATTTATGTGTATTTTCATGAGCTTTTATTTGATAGACTCTCTGACTTTACATCATTCTCGTCTTCTAGGAACCCTCCAAAGAAGCTGCCAGTTTGCCCAGAAGACGAAGCTCTCATCGCAACAACAACAGATTTTCAGACAGGCCGCTTTCAGTGCAGGGTGAGTTATTATCAGTCCTATTCTTTCTATCTGACGTTGTTCATCAGATGGCTCACCCTTTTGTAGTAGCAAACAATCAACATGCTTTGTGCTCATGTCCTCACCTTGTCTGTTTGCTTTGTTCCCTCCCTTTTATTCAAATCAAAGGTGTGTCTGTTAAGTTGCTTGCCTGTTACCACGCAGAACATGTTTTTTTTATGCAGACTAAATGAAATGTAGAAGTAGCAGCATTTTTAAGCCTAAAATCCTCTCAGTAGTATCTCTTTGTATACAAACATATAAAGCTTAAGTAGCTTTGATCTAAAAAGTCAAGTCAAGGCTTTCAAGGCCCCTTTTGTCTATTTTATTTTATCCTCATTGATGAAATTGAACTTTCATAAATAAAACTGTACACACAGCAGTTCTAAACCGTGTTTCTCTGTTTCTTTCCATTATCAGGTTTGGTGCGGACTCTTCCTGACAGCCAAAGCACAGAGGCTTACACTTCCCCCATCATCTCTCACAGACTCAGCAACGGCCACAGACCGGCGAGCAGCAACGGTGGCGGGCTGCTCACTCCATGCAACAGTGAAGCAAACTCTCGTGCTGTAAGGTGAGTTTGTCAGAGTGCAGGAATCTTTAATAAACTTTGGAAAAAGGTTGGAAAAAACACAAGCACTTGCTTAACATGGACATGAAAGATATGTCCATTATGAATCTCACTTTTAAAACTCAGGGACACTTTAATTATCATCTTCTCATGTGCAATGGTTGAATTAATATAGAGGGATTTAAATCCATTTAAAACTTTAACCATATAAGCTATACTGTCAGTAGAACTGCATGTTATTATGAGACATAAACAAAAAAGATTGATAAAGTTTGTGACAATCGTATAAATTAGGATTAACACACATTATTTTGCTTTTTCACCACAATGCCTCCATCTTTGCTTCTACAGATATACATCAAGTGTTGGAATCAAGGGCAATGAAATTCCACGGTCTTAATATATTATTGGCATGCAGAATTCGGAAGCATAGTATTTCAAATATGATTTCCAACCTAATTATCTGTCCTTTAGGACTCTTACTTTGGACATGTTAATTCTACAATAAGAACTGTGCAGCTCTAGCTGTCAGCTGATGCCAGGATTAAAACAATAATTAAGACAATAATTTATCCTCTCAGATTTTACAGTAACCAGTTCATTCACAACTGTATAATGTTAAGTATGTGAACATTTATGTGAAAGTTGCTCAATAATGAAGTGATACTAACGCTGAATTTTATTGGGAACATGCATGTTTGTTGGGAATCTATAGCTCACTTATAATGTTTGGTGCAGATATGCATTTATATACAATAGGCCAGTTTGATTAAATCACATGTGTCAGTCCACAATACATATTAGATAATACTGACTCTTTTGCTTGATTTTAAATTCTGATGTTTTATGTTCCTCATCTCTGCAGCCCGTGCCATTTGGATCTTGCAGAAATTGAGAGGAAGCTGAAGGAAGCCAAGGCAGAAAGAGAGAGGCTTCTCAGAGAGAGAGTAGGTCGCCTGCTGTGGGAAACTCTTGCTAATTGTCAGTGCCACACTACATTAGACATGGTCTGGGTAGTGCTGACACCAGCTCAGCTTGTGTGTATTTGTCCAAATAAACAAACGGCAGATGTTTGCTTTTGCCTGTACTGGCAACTGCCATAACTGGAGGCCTCATGATTCCAGTTGTTTGTGGCTTCCTAATCAATTGCTTTTTATTTTTATTTTTGTTGCTCTTTAAATAGTAAATTTAATGTGTTTTCTTTAATAAATATGCAAACAGGCAGAGAGGCAGCGGTTGTTGTTGGAAGAGAGAAGCCAAAGAGAGCTGAACTCCTCCAGAGAAGATCCACTAGAACCAGAAACCCAACAGAGACCAGAGCCAGAAGCAAATGAATCTAGATTGTTTTCATCTCCAAGTTCAGAGGTATGAATAAATAACAAACTCTAAATGTATGAAAACATGTTTTCATCCTCAAATGAAGCTATAAACCTTTGGAAAGTCATGAAATTATAGCTGCAGAACTTAAGAAATAGTGTAGTAGACACTATAGTAGAGTGTGGTGTTACATACCACCATCAGGGTCTGAATAACTGAATGTAATAAAGAGCTTTGGGCTCAGTGGACTTGATAAAGCAATATATAAGTACAGGCCATTTACTCACATTCCAATTATGACAGGCATTTCAAGCCTATTAGCTGTGTAAATCAGTGTTTATGGGCTTAAATATTGACCCAGTTTGTTGATAATTCATCTAATTAAAATTGCTCTCTGCTTTAAAGCGTTATTTTGCTTGTTCTGATACTAAGTGATTTCAGTGGAATATATATCAAATGTTGTTTCTATAGTAAACCTAATTTTGCTGCATTGTCCAAAAGCATTAAAGATGTGTTCAATAAAAAAAAAAGGCTAGAGGTTTTTTATGAAGTGCTGTTTTAATATCCATGAACACATTGAGCAGCTCTGTTATGGCTTATTTTTGTTTTTCGTTTCATTTTCTTAGACCGTATCTTTCTATTTGCTGTGACTTTTCTTTATAACTTTTAATTTCTCAAGTCCTGATTTGAACTGCGATTGTATTTTTCATCATGTGGCCACAGAGAGATCCTTTTTTTATTCTCAGGAATAAGTGTACTTGTTTCTTGCTACTGAGCTCTGGCAGTGGTTTCCATGGAAAATGCGCTATTTAAAGCCTGACTTCAGCCTCACTTGTTCCTTCAGAAACGCACCCTGCCCCATTTCCTGACTCCAAACTTTGACCTTCGGGCCCATGTGGAGTCGCTAGGTCACGGGGTTGCCAGCTGCAAGGACCTCCGGCTCACATCACGACGGTGCGCAGGCTTTCTGACGAAACGAGGAGGGAGGGTCAAGACATGGAAGAAGAGATGGTTTCTGTTTGACACAGACCACAGGAGGCTGGCCTACTATACAGGTTAGACTGGATTGCAAAGCTGTGTCTGTGTGTGTGTGTGTGTGCGCTTATTGACTTTGCATGCTTTGTGTGTTTGCATGAATAAAAAGGCTTCTGTGTGCCACACGATTTGAGCTCAGTGAAACGAGGCCATTGTTGTAAAAATACAAGACCACCCATCCCTTGCTGAGCATATTTTAAGGTCTGTTGTAGCTTCTTGCAAAAGTGTTTAAACCCAGGAACCCTTTTGAAATTTTTTCACATTACGAGCACATATTTTTATGGTTGTTATTATCCATATTTTGTGTGGTTGACCAACATAAAGTAGAGCCTACTTGATGGATGGAAGAATATATTTTTTTATTTTTATTTATTGTAACAAATAAAACCCTGAAATGTGTCGCATTTACATACATGCACTTAAATTCACCCCCTTTACATTGATGCCACTAACTAAAATCCAGCGCAGCTAATTGCTGTCAGAATTCAGCTCACTATGAATAGAGACCGCAGGTGTTTAATTCAATCTCGGTATACATGAAGCTTTTTTTGATGAAGTTAAATGCTGAGAACGTTGCTGAAGAGGAGCATCATCAATAATAAAAATAAATAATATATATTTGAAAAGAGGGTTCCATAGCCCCACGGCTCAGGTTGGAGCTCAGGGGGACTCGACAGACATGTTGAAGAAAGAACAACACTAAAAAATGCTTTATAACTGACACTTTTCCCCTCACTGAAAAGAGAAGCAAGATGAATGATTTGTTTGATCAGCAGGGACAGAAAGCTGTTCAGATTTGAATGGAGGATAAATATGAAGCTGTTATTGGCTCCTGGGGACTTGCGACTTGACTAGAGAACCAGTTTCCACCATGAATATAAAACTCTAACACAGTACAGCTACAATGGAAAAAGGCATAGTTACTCATTACTTTGTGTAACCAGCTATGAACACACATTTTTGGGCCAGTCCAAAGCTGCCACACCATAGTAAATAATATGTTGCATTAATTTATGTTATGTATTTTCAGTACATTACTTATGCACTGGCTGAATAAATGTATAAGTGAACCATGAAAAAAAAAAATCAACCACAGTGGTGTACATGAAACGTAGCCCTTTTTATTATTTTATTAAGTTTCTTAACCCTCACAACCCACCCCTCTCCTCATGGAGTTGATCAACCTGACCAGTGTTGGGGAGGTCACTGAGATTTAACCTGTTAAATGAGGAATAAACTATAAAAAAATCAATAATGGATGCAGAGATGCCTGGAGAGAGGAAAAAAAGTTCAAATGCCTCTAAGGGAAATGTGGCAAAAACATTAATGTTTTCTTTGTCATTTGGCAAAACAGCATTGCCCAGAACATTCTGAAAATGCACTACACATTTAGTCCACCAGGTGGCGGCAATACACTTTTACCTTCAGTGCTGACCAACCATAAATAAATCCCTCAGTATTAAGTTTATTTCATATTTGGATTTTTTTTATAAATTTGCAACTTGTGAAAGTTGATTTAGAGCTGTATGTTTTAATTAAAATAATTATAAAAATTAAATAACACTTAGTTTTTCTTTTATTATAATAACTAACTCAATTTCAGATATCTGCAGCACAAACAGAAAATGGTTTAATATAATTTAAGAACAATTAGTCCACATAAATTATAAAAGGAATTCATATATTGACTTTATAATCGTAAGCAAATACTTTAAGTAGACGATAACAGTGGAGTCGGCTAAGCAAGACATTAGTCTGCAGTGTGCCTATATCCAGTGGTATGCTGAGTCTCCTCATATCCTATAACTAATCAAGGTGTGGCCATGGCTAAATACCCGAATTGATTACAGTCCAGCTCTACTTTGTGTTGTTGCTCCACATATATCCATAAGTACATCTATTTTTGTGGTTTATAATGCACACAAAAAAGTAAAGGTTCAAGTGAAGGTAATACTTTAGCAATAAATACTAATAACTAATAAACATTTGTATAGATTGTAAATGAAAAAAAAAAAATCTTGACTCTTCTTTCTCTGCAGACTGTGACGAGAGGAAGCTAAAAGGAGTCATGTACTTTCAGGCAATTGAGGAAGTTTACTACGACCATCTACGAACAGCTGCATCTGTGAGTTTTTGTGTGATTTCTCATTTGGCTGCACAAAGTCAGTAGAATTAAGTTTAAAATCTGGAAATGTAGTTTAAACCAGGCCAATGGCTACAAACCCTCTTATATTCAAAACATATTTTCTTGTTCTAATCCTGGAATGACCTCAAAATACTTGCATAATCTTTGAGAAAATATGTTCTCAGAACAACAGCAATGGGTTTAGAAAAATATTAATAGAATTATGCATTGAGATCTTTATTAGTTTAGCTTTTATAGAATGTGTTGTACTTGCTAAACGGATGCATTTTAGTAGAATAAACAAAAACAATCTATACAATAAGATATCCTGCCTTAGTGTATGTAGTTTTGTTTGTACAATGGTGCTATATCATATAAAACTACACCATATAATGCAGCAAGGTGGTTTAACTTTGATTTGAAGTCAAATTCCTACCATCAGCTTTAAGATTTAATCTAGCAGTTTTTTCCTATTATACATCAATGCAGCCAGATGTTTTTTTAAAATGACACACTTTACTGTCATGTTTTCTGAGTAAAGATGTTTTTCATTCTTTAGGGAAGCAGACATTCAGAATTTTCTCTCTCCGGTTTTGATTTCGGATGCTTGTGTGCACTCAGTTGTGAAATTTGGTTTAGAAAATATTTTTTGGGTTTTTAAATCCTTTGTATTGTGGTAAATGAATAAGAAATGCCACCAAAGACTCTGTTTCTTCTTCTTTTCAGTCTCCTCGACCTAGCCTTACATTCTGCGTGAAGACATACGATCGCCTGTTCTTCCTGGTGGCCTCAAACGCCGTGTCCATGCGGATCTGGATGGACGTCATTGTCACTGCCACAGACGAGCACAGCCGCTATTGACCTTTATATGTGAAGCTACTGAAAAGACTCTAATGTGGGTTCTGTTCCCCTTTTCTGTCTGCGTAGCATACTTGCTGGAAATTTGCCTTAAGTGATTGAGAAGACTGTGAATAATCACTCAGATGTGCAGCAATTCAGATGAGGAGGACTATGTTACTGACAGAGGTTCATAAGCTGCAGTGCAGAACATGGATCTTCCAAAGACTTACTCATGGTGACTCAGCGGTCTGTTACAGAGGGTTTACACATGGACCTCGTTCTCCCCCTGCTGGTCAGATTGCAGCATTACAGGAGTAAAGTTAACTACAATGAAACCACCAGCACCTAAAAGTCATCCACTCTAATAATCCACTACTCTTAATGTTTTCTTTGATATATCCATCCTGTTTTACATTTGTTTTTAGATAAAGGAATGTATATGAAATTTTAAAGATTATTTATTTTGTTGAGGTTTATATGGCTTTGGTTTGCTTATAAATAAAACTGTACCCTGGTGTTATGTCAACACTAAATGTTCTTAAAAATCCTCCTGTTCGTCTGTTATTGAAGTTTCTTTGGTGATGATGAAACCAATTCCAAGCTGGGGAGTAAAAGTACTTTAACAAAATGTTAATTTAAAGAAATATTTTTACATAGATATTGCAGATAACCTGCTACCAGATTATATTAGATGCTATAAATAATATGCAATTGCTTTAGCTTCATGTAACTCTGTACAGGTCATATAATTAGAATATCATAAAAAAGTGTTTTTTTCAGTAATACCAGTCAAAAAGTATAACTTGTATATTGCATTCATTACCTATGTGCAGACTTATGTATTATAAAGTGCTCAGTTTCTTTTTTTTTTTTTTAAATCTAATGAGTAAAACTGACAACTAATACCTCTAAACATAGTTTTTCTGACAAATTAGAATATTGTAAAAAATATGAAAAACACTTCGTACCGCACTTTAATCAGCTAATTGACTTAGAACGCCTAGAAATGCTTTTAAATGGTCTACCAGTCTACATGTACTTCTGTAGTCTACACAATTGAAAGCCTGTTGACTTTAGATGATCATGGACACCTCGCACAAGGAAGGCAAGACACAAAAGGGTGTTGGTAAAGAGGCTGGCTGTTCACAGAGCTCTGTGCCCAGACATAATAAATAGATGAAGGGAAGGAAAAGATGTGGTCTGGCAAAGAACGCCATGCTGAGCCTGGTTTGGCTATAGATTTCTTCCCAAAGGGGAGATTTTCTCTCCAATGTCGCTTTATTCTTGTTTATCATGGGGGTTCATACGAACCTGCTCTATATACCTATACTTTTTTGTGTGAGTTTTTCATGCTTTTGAAATCTAAAGTGATGGCAGGGCATCACACAGGAAAACTCTATACAGGTTTCTTTGCTGTAGACCCCAAACTCATGCAATCAATCATTTTCACCTGACCAAAGCATTTAGTGGACATGCTGGAAATCAAGAATCTATAAAAACTGATAGGTTTGTACAGTTCTTACCACAATTAGGTCCCGACACAGTTTGTCTAGATACAGTTCTCTCTTGTTTAAATGTGAGTTTTAGTTTGAAAGTTTCCTGAATCTCTTAAGTAATTTCCTACAATTTTAGTATTGCTTCTGTGAATTAAAAACATTTTCTACCTCAAGCTTTTGAATTTTTTGTTCAGATCTTTCAGTTTATTAAACCTTTCATGTTTCCCTTTAACTGTGTAACATGTCGTTGTCAGACAGCTGCCGTTTACACTGACATGTCTTTTTAAATACTCATCCTGCCTTTATATAGGTCAGTATGACAATATGCAGTATTAAACAGTCAGATTCAACATAGAATAAAATGAACTATTCATTTAAGACTACAACTAACGATAATTTTGCAAATTGATTAATCTATCAATTATTTTCCCCAATTAATCTATTAATAATCAGATTACCAAAGGTTCCTCAAAGAAAAATTTTACATTAAATTATCCAGGTGAAACTAAAATGTTTCCACTTGAGGAGTTCTGGATAGAGCATATTGACAGATGAAAATGTTTTTTTTTTTTTTATCTTAAATGCTAAATGTTTATACATTTTCTTTACTATGTTGGTATAATTACTGCTCTAAGTGGGTTGTTCTGTCAGTTAAAGGCATGATTTAGAGTCTCTATACTCCAGTTAACAAATAATCGTTTAATAAATTAACTGATGATTATTTCAATAATCATTTTAATCACAATCTGAATAATTGTTACAGTCCTAATTAATCTATTTCAGTAACTAGTTTCTCAAAGAAAAAAAAGCATTGTGAATGTGAAAAAGGTATTTAGAAGTATGTGCAAGCTCCAGAGAACATATTCTAATACACTGAATATCGGTTTGTACGTCAACATCCAACAGAAATATGACCTTTTGAAATGCATTTTTGCAATATTTAAAACTGTGTGTTTCTTTATTGAATTAAGTTTAAACAGCTTCTAAGGCATGTTTCCATTTATATTACCAAATACGACCATGACTACCAGTATTTGAATTTGCTTTTATGTAGGTATTTATCTTGCCTCCAGTTTCTCTTTATTTTTTCTACTGTTTCCCTAATTAGAATAAATTAAATGATGAAATGACAATGTTTGATGAATTCCCCATACAATCAATAAAAAAAATGGCTTTGAATAAAGTGTGGCAGCGAGTGGAGACAGCATGAAAACCCTGTTGTTTTCTAATTGCCTGTTTCCATTGGCACGTCTTGCAACAGCTGCATGTCTTATCCAGACACACCACCAGTCTGGCAGTACGTCTCTGTGGATTTGGAACCACTGAACCCTTTAGGCTGGTAAATCTCTGAATTTGTTATGATTTTAACTTCTAATTAATACTAATAATCTATTCTGACTTTGATTTAGGTATCTCTGACTGAGTACTAAAGAGCACTTTCAGCACCAAAATTAAGGTAGGATTTATTATGATGCTCAAAATAATGTCTGTGTTATGTTCACATTAAGTTAAAATTTTTCATGTAAATAGAAAAAAATGCAACTGTATTTCTGTCACATATCTGCCAGTTTAAGTGCTCTAAGAAGGAGTTTAACTTGTGAACAAACTCCAGTTAAATATGGATAGCTTTGCTGAATTGAAAACTTTTGTGCAGACTCCTGTTGCTGATTATTTTGTAGCTGCAAAAGAATGAGATTGTGCCAATTAATCATGCAAGACAAACATTTTGGTTTACCTAAAATAATTAGTAATGTAATTTTGGGCCTAATGTGTCTTATTTCACTGCAGTTTTACTGTCTGTGGTTTTAATTCTATGATAGTTTATGAATATCATAAAATATTTTCTCTCATAAAACATTCTCCAAATGTTCATATTAGTTGAATGCAATATGGCATTATCTATGTTAAAAAATATTTTAGATGTATTTAACTGATCCTTGGTTTTGTTTCAGTTCGAAATGAAAAATATACAAAAAAAAAAAAAAAAAATTTATTTTGATTTTCTTTCTACTACCTCATTCAAGGATTGCTAACTTGAAAAACAGCCACGATGTCCATTGCAAAGCTTCTCCTAATATGTTATTTATTTCAAGGTAAGATGTCTCCTATTTAGATGCTTTTTCAATTAAAATCATACAGTTGTTAAATTTATGTTGATACAATCATTGTTTTTCCTCAGGCATCTTATGCCAGCACTGGTCTGTTTTAATGCCTCAGACCATAGAGGGGCTGAGTGGATCCTGTCTGATCATCCCATGTACTTTCACCTTGCCCCCTGAATGGGATCAGTACCTGGACCACTCATGTAAAGCCATCTGGAGGAGAGGCAGCTGGAGCCGAACGCAGGTGTTTGATTCTAGCCTCGCCGGAGCAAGCGTCAACTTAAATCTCCTGCAGGGAAACCTAACAGGGGTCCTGCGTGACAAAGACTGCACCACCATCTTCAACAACCTGCCGTCTAACCATTACGACAACTATTACTTCAGACTGCAGTGTGAAAACTCACTGAAGTTCAACTTTCAAGCAGGCGTTCGTATCACCACTCAAGGTTTGTTCTATTCTTCATCATAAACATGCAAAAATAGATCATATCTTTTTGTCTATGCTTACAGCTTTTCCTTATTGTTCCTCCTCAGATTCTCTCCCCAGGCCTATCATGACTCCATCCAAGCTGGAAGTAGAGGAAAGGACTGAAGTTGCATTGAGTTGTTCAGCCGTTGTCCCCTGTCCAACTCTTCCCCCACTAGTGACATGGACACCAATTTTAGGAGACACAGAGGAAAATATAGAAGCAAATTCTTTAACCTCTCTTATGCATTTTAACGCTTCTCACCTCCACAATGGACAGAAGGTTTCTTGCACTGCTACCTACAACAGGCAAGCTGGACACAGTGATCTCGTCTTTGAAAGGAGTTTAACAATGCAGGTTTTTTGTAAGTATGTTTTTTATTGCACTTTAGTTGAAAATATTTTATAAACTAAATATAAAAAAAAGATATTACAAGAGAAAATCTGTTTGCTAATGCAGGTGAAAAAGAAAAAAAATCTGACTCCATAAAACTGTAGAAGACCAACCATGTTTCAATTCAGTTAATTTATATAGCACCAACTCACAACACGTCATCTCAAGGCACTCTACAGTTCGCCAGGTCATACAGTCAAATTGATTCAAAGTTTTCTATCTAAGGAAAACCAGTTGATTGCATTGACTCATTGACATTGCAATCCCTCACACTAAGCATGCTTGGTGCGACAGTGGAGAGGAAAAGCTCCAGCAGAACCAGGCAGCTTAACCATTTATTTAATAAGCCAATTTTTACTTTTTTATTTTTACATTTAAGGACACTGACATAGCTCACGGAGGCATTTGCTCAATAAATTTTTTTTTTTTTTTCATATTTTTCAGATAAATCTGATGACCTTTTCTCTAATCAGCAATTCTTCCTCTGAGAGGCTGTTGAGATAGTCAGAGAAGTTGAAATACCATAAAAGTACAATACAACAGCCTAGTTTTCACACTCAGAGTTATGGATTTTCCTCTACAGATTAAGAGATTACTGTGACAACATTTTCATTTCTGGTATTCTTACGCTGCAAAAATTTTTAATCTTAAGTCATTTTTTCTTAAAATAAGTGAATTTTTTCTTGAATGGAGTGAGACCCTTTGCCTAAGGAAAAAAATTATTTACCTTTAAAATAAGAAAGAAACAAATGCATTTTATTATATCAAGAGCATACTTTCAATTATCTTATTTCAAGAGTAAAAATGCTCATTCTATTGGAAAATCATCTTATTTACCTATTAAAATGAAGGGTAAATACATTTTATTTAAGAAAGGTTGACTTATTTCTAGTTTTTTTTGCAGTTTAAGGAGATGGCACTAAATATGTACAAATACATTTGCTTTCATCCTCAAGGGATTTTATTCACCTAGTCTGCTGTTTGAGTGAAGTATGTGATGCTTAAATGGCTTTGTGATGAGGATGATACCATTTTGTAGGCTGCCACAGTCTATTGTTACCCATGAGGCAAACAGAGATAGTCATCTGTCAGTTGCAACTGAACAAGTTTTCTGTTTTTTTGTAAGCATGTGAGGTTAGTGTGTGTGGGAGCAGTTTAGGTGTAAGAAAAAATAGCTTTATATCAGATGTGACTGAACCTGCTAATGTTGGGTTTGCTATGACTAATTAAAGAGCTGTTTCAGTGATTTTAAGGGATCTGTGCAGCATGTGAACATCTCTATTTTCAAACCTTAAAAATCTATATATGTCAGACTTAGGGAGAGAAAATGTACATTAAATAACACCAGTAAATTTCGGAACTATTGACACTTTTGTTATAGTTTTCTTACAATATGGACCACCATAAATTTAGACAAGTGTGAAAAGATCTATGTTTAGACTGGTCCAGTTTGAACTAGATCATTTCAATCTACACCAATTATAAATGCTCTAATAAAGGGTTTGTATTCGGTTTTCATTTCTTTATATTTCTGATAATAGAACTTTAATTACTTTGGCCAAATTGGCTTCATCAGTGTGATTCTGGGTGCTAAATTGAGGGGCTACTGTAGTTCTCTCCTCAGGTTTTGTATTTCCCATTTTTCTCATCCTTCCAGACTCTCCATATAACACAACAGTAAGTGATTCTGGTCCAGTGTTGGAGGGCAGCGTGGTGACTCTGACCTGCAGTGCTAATGCCAATCCAGAGGTGGACAGCTACACCTGGTATAAACTCGCTGGAGAGCAAGTGGAAGAAGTTGGATCTGAGAGCACATTTTCAACCACAGCTACAGAAGCTGATAACCAGTTTTTCTGCAAAGCTGTTAATGGATATGGAAGCCAAAACTCTTCTATCATGCAAATAGATGTATTGTGTATGTCAGAGCAGATGTATTTTTAGACAATACATAGTAACTCACAGCCTAAAACATAAACTGACTCATACTTGTTTATGATTACAGTTTCTCCCAAGGAGACAGCGGTTCTTGTTGAGCCAGCTGGTCTGATCCTGGAGGGCAGCTCTGTGTCTCTGCTTTGTAGAAGCCATTCAAACCCACCAGTAACCAATTACACCTGGTACAAAGATGACGAAGTGTATCAGGAGAAAGGACCAAAAATTGTCTTTAATGTTATAGATCTCAGCCATAGCGGTGAATATTACTGCTCTGCAAAAAACGACTTTGGAGAAGAAACTTCAGCAATGATTCTTCTGGATGTTCAGTGTGAGTTTTCTTTCTTTTTTTTATGCAAAAAGGATGTTGGGTTCCAGTGAAAAAACAAAAAACAGAGCCATATATTGTGTGGATTATGGCTCTACTGTACGTCCAGCTGTGATAACCCAAACACGAAGCAGAGCCAAGATTTGTTCACACTAAAGTCTGGACCATGGACAGTGACACATTGTCATGTTGCGTGACAACCTTAGAGCTCTCAGTGTGTCTGTGGCCCATTTAGACTGAGCTCTGTTGTGAACATGTGTGTTTGTCAGTTTATGTGAAGACGTTTTGTTCGGCTAATCTTCTTATCTAGATGGTAATTTTCCTTTTCACCAAAGCATGGAGTTCAGTTGATAGTTCCGTTCCTTATATTTGGTAAAAGAAACATCAAGTAAAAGCTAATTAAAGGATTTGCATCCACCAAAAATATCAAACCATTATGCTTTCAGTTTACATTTAATCTACTTTATCCACAGAGAAAGAAGATACCGTATGATCTTTTAATGCTGAACCTTCAAAATAAATCAAATGTTTTCTTTCAGATCCCCCTAAAAACACTACTGTGTCTGCTGACTCGTCTGGCTCAGTTTCTGATGGCAGCTCTGTGACTCTGACCTGCACCAGCATGGCTAACCCACCAGTAGCTAATGTCACCTGGTTCCGAGTTGCCGGTGGAGAAAAGGAGGTTGCTGGCTTGGGTCAGAACTTCACCTTTAATGTGACCAAACTCTCTGAAGATCTATATTACTGTGAAGCACTAAATGTTCATGGATCTCAATACTCAGAACCTTTCACTATTGATGTTCTATGTAAGATCAATTAAAAAAAAATCTTCCTTGTTTACTTTTGGTTTTCTAATATTGTCTAATGGCTAATGTTCTCCCTTTACAGATTCTCCAGAAATTCTATCATCTTCTCGCTGTGTCAAAATCTTATCCCGCTTTCGATGCTCCTGTGACAGTCAGGGTAACCCGCCTCCTTCCTTGCTTTGGGAACTGGCTGGAGAACGTGTCAATAACTCAGCTGACATCCCAATACGAGAGATAATTATGGGGCCAGGGACGGTCCGGAGTGTCATCACCCTGTACAGTCTGAATGAAGACTTGCCCACCTTGGTGTGCCTCAGCAGAAACTTACTGGGCTCTGATAGTCTGGCTTATAATGTTTCCTCCAGTGAAACTCAGCTAGGTGTGGCTCTGCAGAAAGCTGCACTCATAGATGTTTTATCTGTCATTCAACATGTTCTGTTATGGATTTTTTCAGGTGTTGATGTTGTCTCTCTGCTCATCGGCTCAGCAGCTGGAGCTCTGGGGATGATGGTGATTTGCATTCCTCTGTTGATATTTTTCTGCAGGTATTTTTTTTATTGAATTCTGTTTATAAATTTGTGATATTGTAATCCTACCACTGTATTTTCTGAACTTTTAATAGTTTGAAAGAATTTTTAAAAGCTACAAAAATAGATTCCATCATCAGTTAAAAAACTTCATTAAATTATTGACAAGTTATGTTATTAGTTACAACACACATGTTCAAAATGGGAAGAGCACTGTGATATATAAGTGCTTCACAAAAATAATTTTATACCTAAATCTAATAAAATAACTTGATTTCATTAGACCCTCCAAAAAAAAACAACACTGGGTCTGCCTTTCTGGTACTAAAATTGATTGCTTTAACTTCGTCCTGAAGAACACAGACTACAGTATGTGTCAGTAGGGAACATTAAATTAGAGACCAGAAATATCACATGCGGAGTTCCTCAAGGCTCCACTCTTGGCCCCCTCCTATTTAGTATCTAAATGCTCCCTTTACCTCAGATCATAGCAAACAAGAATATTAGTCTGCTTGAGGGCTTTATATTTTTAGTGATCTATGGCTAACCCCACATGTCATTTTTATATAATATTCTAAAAAACTTCCTCTCCAAAACAAAATGAAAAGCTCCTTTTACAAAAGTCAAAATATCTTTAAATTATATGTGTTGCCTTTATAACTGTCATTGTAGTTTGTGTGTGTAAAATAAAATCCATCCCTACAAGTAGTTCCATGTATGGCTGATATAACCAAGATTTTTCTGTTTTAGAAAAAGAAAACACAGCTTTTCACCCAAGAAGAAGTTGGCGGAAGCAGAAGAATGTTTAGTCACAGATGTGGTTAGTTTATATTTTTAAAACTCATACTTTATATATATGCGTTTAGTTACATGTAAAATCAGAATGAGCCTATGTAGCCAAAAAACTCTGATATGACATTACATTTTATTGAAGCCCTGCCGACTCGTGAACATATTCAAATAAAAGCAAATTACATCTCTTCTAGCTGTGATTTGGTGGCATTAAATTTCTTATTGTCTTATTGTAGGCCAACCCTTCCTCAGAAGCCACCATTTTTGCCAACAAAGCTGTAGAGAATGATGTGGAAAAAGACAAAGAAGAGCACCTAAACTATGCCAGTGTGGACTTTGCTAAGGCGCAGGCAGAATCGGAAAGTCTGCTTGGGGATGGAACTATCAGAGGACTGGCCTCAAAGACAGCTGAGTACGAAAATCACCCCAACTGCAGAGAAAGTAATGGAGGAGAATCAAAAGAGCAAGAAAATGTCTCAGGCACTACCTTGGAACATAGTAAAAATGCTAATAATCTTGAGGTAACTAACAAGGTTTCACCTTAATTTGAAGTCAGTTTGTAGCAGAAAACAAGATGGACTTTGGTTTTATTTCAACATTATTCAACATGAAGAAGCTGATATAGAATTTTAAATCTCACAAGAATTCTTTAAAAAAACTGTTTATTACTCATATTTTTGCTGCCCTTTTCTTCTCTTTTTTTGTAATTTCTTAATACTTACTTATCTTGATTAAACTTCTATCGTAAATAAAAGCAACAACAAAAATTTTTTGTATGTGTTTTTATTATCTGCCGTCAGTACAACCAATCAAAGCATTTTTCAAAGTGAGAAAATAAACAAACAAAATAGACTGATAAATTTTTAGCTCCCTTTGAACAGAAGGATTATTTGGTAAAGTTTAACCTCTGTAGGAGTATTGGTCCCTTACAGATTTATTCTGCTTTTCTGTCTTTCAACAGATTTAAAATCAGTCAGGTAAGGTAATCTTAGTAAGATTACTAACAGCAGAGAAAAGCAGATCATAAATAACATACTTATGTATAATATATTACATTTATGTCAATAAATCCCTGTAATTATAACACATTGTAGCCTTAATGTTTTATCTCTAGGCCAACAAATTTTTAACACTTAATTTTCTTGATAAAACTTACGTCTTAAATAAAAACAACAAAGGTAGATTGGATGAACATTTTTTATATCGTCTTTATTACATTTATACATGAGCATGAACAAAAAATAGATCATTCTGGGCACAAGTTTCATCCCTGTAAAATAGCAAAGTATAAAAACATCGATAGCCACACCCAGTTTTAACTTTCTACAGTATGTACAGAAATATTATTTGGTAATGTTTTACCATCTACAATACTTACCTAGAAATATTAGCTCCTTACAGCTTTATAGATTTTAAAATCAGACCAAGACAACTAAGTAAGATCAAAAAGTAGTTTTTATACCAACATTTTGGTTTAATAAGGAAATAGGTTATAGAAGCACCTTAGCCCTATTAAATAATGTTGTCCACTTCTAAACCAAATAACTGCTGTGGGACCCTGCTATCAAGCATCTCTGTTAAGCAGCATTTAGTCTGTCTTCAGAGAAATTTTGATTAACAGTTTTATAATTCATCCACAGTAGAGGATCATTGAAAATGAATGGACGGTTTAAGGTCATGCCACAGCTTAACAGCTTAAATCCAGACTATGATTACGTCACTTCTAAAAATCAATTTCTCCTTTTCTGAGCAAATCAGAGATGGAATATCTGGTGCTTTGGATCTATTGCCTTCTGCGAAACCTTCCTAAGCAGACAGCTTCTTGCTGTATCTTTTGGATAGAGAACACAATCTATATATGTCTAAGTTACAGCAATGGGCTCTATGCACAACTCCACTATTTCTTGAACTTAAGGCACCTCTTTTGCTTGCTGTCTTTTTCTACTGAATGAAGGGATTATCCAGGTGTGCTTAACCTCAGTAACCATGGCGAGACACACCTGGATCAATCAGTTCATTCGGGAGAAAATGACAGGAAACAAAAGAGCTGCCTTACGTTCAGGAAGTAGGGAGGTTGTGCATAGAGCCCATTCCTCCACATCACAACCAACACCATGTTTGAATGCAAGTATCTGGTTGTTATTTTTAATTTTAAGTTCTCCTAAAGTAATTTAGGTGATTTGGTCACTACTGGCAATTCACAACCATGGTTTTGTTGATAGTGGTTTTTACTATAGTTTGCTGGAGTCCCATATGGTTTTATAACTATTTCCAGATGAATAGATGTAAGGGAGAGTTTCTCTATTCACGTAGGACAAAGTTGGTTGGAAAAGCTTTTTCATCATGATTTAAAAATACTGCTGTGGGCATTTTCTTAAATTCAGTTTTAGTTTTTTTTTTTATTGTAAAACAAAAATGCAAGAACAGAAAGAATTTATTAGAAAGCTGTTATAACACTGTAAAGGTTGTTGATTAAGAGTGACTGATCCTCTCCTCTTTTCAATACACTGTTACACACATTAGATAAGCATATCTTTTCAGGAAATGATGGCTAACAACCTCCATGAGGATCTCAAAGGTTGTTTAGAATCAGAGTATGATGTCAGAGTACTGAGTCTCCTCGTCAGACGTGCTGGAGTCGGATGTGCTGGAGTCGGATGTCTCTGTCTGATGGGAAGGCTTTGCAGCAATAGTCACCTGAGAATAGCTGACCTCTTCTTCATCACTGGTCTCTGAATCATCATCAGAAAAGCATGGCTTTCTGGTAGGTGAAAACGGGTTGATGTTCTCATAATCCAGAAAATGTTCCTGCGCTTCCTTTAGGAAGGAAATTGGAGAATTTGTTTTATAAACAAACCTGATTTGGTTATGACATTTATTTTTTTTTTTTTTTTTTTTTTTTTTTTTACAAATATGAGCTCTGCATTGTTGTGATTGAGTATGCCACTGACCTGTTTGCGTATTGGCTTACACACTTGTGAATATATAGCCTCTACTCCGACTTTCCTGGAAAAAAAAACAAAAAAAATAACATTATTAGAATTTATATATATTTATATAAAAACATAATATAATTATATATAATTGATGTCTGCACTTTCAAAAGATGCAAAAATGAAAACATTTCTCTCACTCCTTATCTTTAAAGGGCAGAGAGGCATAGTTCAGAGAATCGTCCTCCATGCATTTTTGTTGTGCTTTTCCTGGTCTTTGTGCAGATGGAGCCTAAACAGATGCAGACAGAGGACTATAGTAAACATGCATTGAAAACTGAATGAGTTTATTCATGAAATAAAAAAGGGGTCAGTTAGCTGATTCATTATTCTGTGTTTTGCACACTGAGGTATTACAGTAATTAGAAACATCCCTTTATTAGACACACAGAGAGTACACAGCTTCAGGCAGCACACAGGAAGTAGCTAGACTGTTATTCAGATCTACTAGGTTTCGTCATTTAGGCCAAGACTAAAACTAAAATAAAAAAGGCCTAATAAGCATCAATAAACTAACAGCAGATATGTCAGCTATAGAAACCTTTAGTGTATTTTAGTGCAGCTTGTTTACAATTACTGCAAAAATATTTTTCCTTTAAGATTACATGATTCCTTAGATGTTTCTGATGTAAATCTATTTCTTAAAGTCTATGCTAAAAGAAAAATACATCAATCTGATTTCTGCTTTAAAAATGTGGCACTGGCATGCATATTTAAAAATACAACTTCCTTGCTGTCATTTTATTATTATTTTTTCAAATTTTTTATTCTTTGTTAGATTAACTTTACTCACTTTATTTTCAAATGGCAGATTGACTGTAGAATAAACAGTGTTCACATGGTGGGATGTAGACCTAAAGAACAGGAATAAAATAAAAACATAGAAACATATTTTAGCTCATTGTTATTTGAATATAATTTATAATTTTTTTTTTCTCCCATGTGTATCTGTGAGATCTTAAAACAGTTTCTTTCTTCAAAGAGCAAAACCAGCCATTGCTCTCTGTGTAACAGAATGTCTCTTGTTCTGAGTGGAGACAGTGTGAGGCCGCTCACTTACGTGACGTCTGGGCGAGGCTCCTGAGGCTGAGCCTTTCGACGGCCCTGCTGCTCCGGCAGAAGGTCGTCTCTGCTTCTAGAAGTGTCTCTAAATATATTCTCATTTCTTGCATTCCCTCTTTCAGCTCTTCTCCACCAGGTGCAGAAGCCCTGAAAAACAAGTTGTTGTTGTTGTTTTCAACTTGTCTATGTCTGAAAGCTAATGTATGCATCTGCCTATAGCAGTGAGTTTAAACTAAATAAATAAAAAGGACACAGAGGACCCCACAATTATGCAGTGTTAAAAGCCAAAGAGTTAAAGCGGGTCTTAAGACGAGACTTAAAACACTCCACTGTGAAGGCTGTTTGTATATGGAGGTGCAAAGTATTCCAAAGACTGGGGCCAACTACAGAAAAGGCTCTGTCCTATTCTGGTTTTAAACCTATCCTAATCTAACCCTAACCCTTTTATTTGAAATGTGGAGGAGGTTGGTAATGTATTGAGGAGCCATCCCATTCAAATCTCTAAACACAAACAATAAAATCTTAAAATAAATTCTAAACTGAACACAGAGGCAGTGCAGAGACTCAAGAATTGGTGTAAGGTGTTGATGTTAAAAGACAAACCGTTGTGTTAAACATTAAAAACAGCTGGTAAGTAAAAAAATAAGTAAATAAAAATAAAACAACTCTGTGAATTACAAAAAAAACATAACTAATTGAAAAGCTTGATGGGAGTTTTTTTTTGCCAAGGGTGCCCAACCTGGTTTTAGCAGTAATTGCTTTCTCATAAAGGTCCAAAATAGTTTGGGCAGCTTTTTATTCTCAATAAAAAAAGTATTTATAGCATCAGATGTGCTGGACCACTGGACACTGGAAAATATCCTGTGATAATATGAAAGGTAAATATATCACCTATAGTCGAATTAATACATATACCGTACCCTTGAGTCAAATAGATTATAATTTAACAGGAAACTGACAATCCTGTTTGTTTTAATTCAGTGGTTAGCCTGAGATATCTCTAAAATTCTGAAGATGTAGTTCTGCAGATGGAAGACATTGAATTGATTAATCTGTTTATTATTACATTTTGACACATGTTACTGTAGAGATTTATATGCATTTAAATGTTTGGTAAATATTTTATAACACCCCCCATTTCTCATGAGACTTCACCATACAGTGCACCTCGCCACTTTGTCATCATTCCTCACCAGGGCCGGTTCAAGACAGGGGCCAACGGGGGCCAGAAATTCTAATGATGATCTGCGCTGGAACAGACATGGCTACTAACAGTGTTGGGAAAGTTCTCTTTCTACGTGAACTAGTTCAAAGTTCAGTTCACACATTTTAAAATGAACTAGTTCAGTTCATAGTTCACAATTCCAAAAAACGAACTAGTTCATAGTTCTTTTTTTTTTTTTTTTTTTCATATATTGCTCAATTACACCATAGCCTACTGTAGAACCACAGACAGCAATTATTTTATCAGTTGTAACTCTGAAACTGTGCGTCAGATTTCATCTTCATATCCAGTTTTGAATCCTTATCCAACCAGGGTTTACATTAGCATTGAAGGGACAGCATTTCCCCATTGTTGCTTTAACGCTTTGTTGCTGTCCATTCACTTCACACTAGTAGCAGCTGCAGCTTTCACCCCTACAGTATATTCTCAAAAACATCAGGAAAAATGTGCTGCTTGGTCTTTTTTATGAGTAATTATTAAAAGAAAAATAGGAAAGTAGTCTTTAAGGTGCAAATGTTTTTTTTTTATTTTAATAATTTTTTCCATTTGAAATTCCATTTCAATACATACTAAAAAGGAATACTGGAATCCTGGAAAATTATACCAGGCAGGTTTAACAAACAAGTTACATGGATAGTAAAACCCTCAAGAACAGGGGTCTTCTATGTTTTCCAGACCAAGGACCCCCAAACTGATGGCGAGATGGAGCGGGGACCCCCTATTTATATATATTGTATGAAATTGTGTCCTATAGTCACTCTATTACAGATGGAGTAATGTAAAGAAATTAATTTCTCCCTGGGATTATTAAAGTTTTTCTGATTCTGATTCCTGGTTGTTGTGAAGGAAACGGTGCCCAGCTTGAAAGAGCTCCTGTGTGTCGCTGAATGTGAGCATTGATGACTGAAAGACATCTTTTGTCTCCATTTATCTGTTTACTACAGTGTGTTGATTTCATGTTAATGAGTATTTAAAGACATTTCAATTAGTGGGGGAAAAAAATGCGGGGGGGGGAATATAAAAATATCAACTAACCATGCAGACCCTCATGCAGTACCTCCGTAGACCCCCTAGGGGTCGCGGATGCCCTGTTGAAGACCTCCGCTCAAGAAGATTTTACTAACACAAACTGAGGGACCAGGCTGAGGTAGGAATTTAAGGTTACTGAAGTGTGGATTTTTTTACTGAAAGCCAGCGGGCAAACTTGTTGCCATCATCCTCACCGACCACCTGGTCATAAACCTGTTTTAAGTCGCCTCCATGCTGCTGTGGCTTCCACGCTGCATTTTGTTTTGATGACGCACGCGGCTGTAGGCTACGACGCTGGTAGCTGGTGTTGCCAGATTGGGTGTTTTTCCCGCTACATATTAAGGCCTGTTTACGGTGTGATTTAGCCGGGGTTTCGCCTGGAGGGCTTTATAGAAATCTGGCAACCTATTGAACGGAGTTGAACTGAGAGAGCGTGCCGTTCACAGACACCAGAATGAACGAGTTCACAAAAACGTTCATCAGGCAATAATGCAGTACGTTCAGTTCACGTTCGCCCAAAATATGAACGAGTTCATGAACTTTCGTTCAATGAACGCGTTCAGGCACAACACTGGCTACTGATGGGTCCTTTGGAACTACTTCATTCTTTTTCTTTACAAATTCTGTTTTACTAATTATTCAAAAACAATAAGGTGATAGCTTCAGTGGTACTGAGATAGGATCCCAGTTTTCATCTGCTAAATGTTTTTTTTCCCCACAACAAATAAAAAAAATCCTCTAATTTTTACAGATGATTTTAACAGTTTTTCTTGAGTTCTAATTCAAATTTTTATAAAAAAAACAATAGTTTTAACTTAAATTAAGTCAAAAATATGTAAAATTCCTGAGTTATAAATGTATATTGACCTCATAAGAAATAGAATAGAATTTTTGAAAAGAAATTTCACTTCATGCAGCTCTCTTAACATATTTGAATCCCTTGCCCTGATTATTTATTTCATGCTTTTCTCTGCCTTCATGAAAACACGCTGGCCCCCTCCTGGCCCCCTGGTACATTTGGTCTAGATCCGCCACTGTTCCTCCCCTTCACTAGACGTGGATATACTTTAAAATTAGTCCTATATTTTTATTTTTTACTCAAGGACTTCTGCCATTTCACAGGATGCACAGCTTTGACTGGTAACTAGGTGACTGCCAGAGAGTAAGGCGAAACTTATCGGGCTGATCCAATCAGCTCTCTGATCAACCAGTCACCTGGAACACTCGTTGAACAGAGCATCGCTTTGGACAGATACGCTGCTCAGGTTTCACAAGTAACTTCCTCCCCACACCTCGTGCTCTCTTGTTGTCTGCGCAATCGAAGTAGTTCTTATCCGCACATGATGCATTTATTATTGTACTGCCTGCACGCTCTCACTCGCATTAAAAAACACAATCTGAGATAATTAATCAGACTCCCGGGCATCCGTGAACAACTATCTATATCAGGGAGACTCTCGGAACTTCTGGGAGACTTGGGATGTCTGAGTTTTTCAGATAATTTCTCTATAATTCTTAAGCAGAGAGTGGAGTTGTTTCCATTTTATTAGAATTGTTCAGCTGGCTTACCTGAGGTATCAGCAGAGAACTACAGCAGGGCTTTGCGTGTCTTGTACTTTGTTGATTAGCTTTTTTCATCTTGTGTCTAAAAAAAGTTATGGGCATACATTCTAATTACATTTGTACACTGGAATTTTTGTCTTTTAATAAAAATGTTATGATTTTTACCTGTATAAGAAAAGTAGGCCTATGATGAGCAAAATCAAGATAAGCCATCCTAAACCCTTCATTATCATCCTAAATGTGCCTGTGGTTGATAGAGAGACGGTGTTAGTATTCAGTCAGATATGTTTAATACAGCTGCCAGTTTAAATAAAAGTATTTGCTGTTTTAAAGCCATAATCAAACAGTAGAAGTGCTTCTTTCCCCTAAGTTGCACTTACCATCAAACAGCCTGACTGAGTCTGACTTGAACTGACCCATCTCATTCTGTGCGATGCAGTAATAGTCCCCTGCTTGTTGGGAGTACACTGTTAAGTTCTGCATGTGAGAAAGCTTTCTGTTATCTGTCGCATTGTACCACATATATTCAGCTGAAGGATAACAGTGACTGCTGCAGCTCAGCATTACAAAACGTCCTCCCGTCTGGAGGTGTTGCTCTTCTCCTTTAATGATTGTCGTCTGCTTTGGTGCATCTGTAGCATTGTTTAATAAAGACATCATTACTTTTTGATTGAAGAAAATAAGCAAATAAAGGTTAATCCGGTTAAAACGAAGGAGAAACTGTCATGATCTGGGCACTGATGACTGGCTTAATTACTCATTCCATTCACCTGTCTACTGTGCCTGGTTTCTCATCACTGCTAATCTGATCCACCTGCTACCCCTTCTATTTAAGGTTCTTGTATGCAGTCATCAGAGCCAAATTATCTTGTTCTCTCTAGCTGGAGGTAAGACTTTTTTTAGAGTACCTTTGTGTTTCTGATTGCCCGATCCTGACCTGTTCTGCCTCTCAACCACTGAGTCTGCCTGTTCCTGTTCTGATCTGTTTGCCTGACCTGTCCTCAGACTCCTGCATGTTCTCTAGGGCAGCAACATCTGGGATACTCTGGGCGGCGCCCCCGCTGCATCTTGTTGGCAGCTCACTAGCTTTGTTTAGTTAGCCAATTCGCCTTCCTTGCCTGAATACTGGTTTCTGTTTCTGTTCTGAGTCATGACAGAAAACTATACATTTTACTTATAATACACACTGCTATGTTTATACTCACATTTGATTTTGATCTCGACTTCTGTTTCACTTCTTCCAATCACATTTTGGACTTCACATCTGTACAGCCCACTATCTGAGGGCCTGGAGGATTTTACAGTATAGATACTGTTAGTGCTCACAGTGGTTTCCTTTCCATCTTTACTCTTTGTTATCCACTTGAACAGATGTCCCGGCGGGTTGGACTGGGCGGTGCATTTCAATGAGAACATCTCATTTTCTTTCACCTCTAGACCAGGCTTTGCTTCTACTTTCACATTTTTTGGAGAATCTAAATTTTGGTCAGAAACAGGTTTATAGTAGTAGTTAAGTTTCAAATGAAATAGTTAGGTGGCTCACCAACTCTTTCCTGCAAAGAAATACATCTAGGCTTTACAAGCAGGTACCAATCTAGGGTAGAAAAGTATTGAATACAACTGGAGATTCAATTATGGAATAGAAGGTGTTTCTTAAAAAGGAATTAATTAAAAAATATTAAAAAATGTTCTGCATTTTTTTGATGTGTGGGATTTGCCGAGTTAATTTCAATATAATTGAGTAGATCTGGTTTCCTGAGTTTATATTTTGGCACATTGACAGCTTTCAACCGCCTGTAAAACAGACATGAAGCTAAACATGTTTTTTGACAATAAAAAAAAAAATATATATATACATACGGGGGATACACTATTCCAGAATAAACAAACCCCAGCATGAGTGAATGATCCTATGTTGTTTGCATGTAAAATGTAAACCATGCAGGTAAAATAATTATCAACTTGTCTTGATTAAATTCAATTCTACCTTTTAACCAACGATTATAAAATCTTTATTCCCACACATAATGAGCAAGACACACATTAAGTTTGCGCTTTACTCTAGAAAGGCTGTCGCTGAATCAGTGGCTCTGTACTATCCTATGCAAGGAAAGCTGAAGCTGTACGTTGCTGACATGTGGCAGGAATCTGTAGTCCTTAAATATACAAGTGAAGTAATGGATAACAAATCTGTTTAAAGCGTAGTAATGAATAATGCGTTATTAATCTTTACTAACTTATTTACAGTGCTAGTTACTGCGAAACCAACATAGATACAGTAATAAGTTACTTAATATCACTTCAGTCCCAACAATGGTCCTGATGCATTTTCAGTTGTAATGAAAAAAATAAAAAAGCATTATTCTTTTGGACAGTTTCTTCTTTTTTAAAATGTTTCATTTCTTCTACAATAAGTGCTTTTAGTTTGATGAGTTACAACTAAATTCTGTTGCTCTTCATAAAACTAGAGTAGCTTCCTTTCCATACTGTATGTCTCTAAGTGGTGTTTCTGTCTATAGAGGATGAGAACATCTTCATTACTGACAGAGTAACCGCCAGCCTTCAGATCAGTCTAAGTTGCTGAAGCTTGCTCTGATGATAATGCCCCTCTGTGTTGGGCAAACCATTTTACCAGTGGCAGCTTTTTTCCCCCTGATTTATAACTTGTCACAGTCCTCCAGGTACTAAACAAGGTAACTCTGTTTGTGCAGGGCGACCGAACCTCTGGAGTGAAGCAGTCTTTTTGTCCTAATATGTTTTGGTATCATTATCAGCTTTTCCCTCAGCTCTTTAAAACCTTTTTTTTGTACTTGCTAGCGTAAACAAGGTTATTTTGGATTTGGTGGTCTTATATAAGTGTTAAATAAATATGCACCTCATCTAGTTTTTGTTTCAAAGTTGTCTGCTCTTGTTTTCATTATAAGTTCTCTAGATAATTAATCTGATTCTAAAAAAGGTAATAAAATAGAATAAAATTCCCCTTTTCATACATTTTTAAAAAGAAAAAACATCTATACAAATTTCAAATGCAAACTTTAGGCTTTGATCTGTGAATAGCGTGCATCAGCAGATGACTCACATTCAACCTCCAGTTTCCTCTGATAGCTGCTGTTTGTTCCTTCGCTGTTTGATGCGATGCAGGTGTAAAACCCTGCGTGGGCGTATGTTGCATTAAAAGTGAGGGTGAAAACATTTTGTCCCATAGCAGCCTGAGAAGAAAACATTTCTGAGGGCGGAAGATCGGGGGCTGAGGATCTTTTCAACTCAAATCCTGACAAAGGGGAGCTCTCAGCTGAACAGTTGATTGTTACAGACTGGCCTTCTCTAACTTTAGAAACCAAAGACAGTTTGACATTGGTTGGAGGAACTGTGGAGAAAAAAAGCATATAAAAAAGATCCATCTTTTGTTGAAAAAGCATTTTTACAGGGATGTAATAAGTTTCAATAAATCAAGCTACTTACAAATAACTTGAATGCATTCAGGCTGACTGACTTTCCCCTGACCAATGGTGTTACTTGCATTGCATATGTAACAGCCTTCATCTGTTCTCTGAATGCCATTGAAAGTTAGAAACGGTTTGCTTCCCAGTGGTGTCCAGTTGGAGGAGTCAGACTGTTTGTAATGGTACCAGGAGAACCAGGGCTTTGGGTTTGCCGTAGTGTTACAAGTCATTTTAAGGAAACTGTTAACTTTCACTTTGTTATGAGTAGCACTGATAGAAACCCGGCTTTTTGGCTTGTCTAATAAGAAAAAAAGACAAATAGTTTGAGTTTAACAGTACATGATAATGTAAACAAAATAACAAATAAAACTCACATTGAACCTCAAGATTAAAAGGGTTTGATTTTGTTGAACCAGCAGTGTTTTGAGCTTCACATTGGTAAACACCACTGTCCTCTGGTTTGATTTGGAGTAAATTATATTCCTTCTGGTACCACACATATTTCCCATCTTTAATCCATTTAAAGCTTTCAGGTTTTGGGTTGGCTCTATTCACATTGCACACAAGAGTAATACTTTCTCCTTCTTTAACTTCAATATGATATCGTTGGACTCCTTCTATTTGAATGACAACTACAGGTGGATCTATGGAGAAAAGAGACTGTCTGTTATTATTATTTTTCAGTAACTCTCTAAATAAAACGTCAAATATCATATTATTCACTTTTCCATTACTTAAGAGTTTAAATAAAATGGTAAAATGTTTAGGAGAAACTCCAAATAAGCGAAAATGTAAAGTTTACGATGCATAATTCAGATATGTTTACTTTTATGAAAAAAAAAAAAAAAAATCGAACCTATAAATATAAAATATTCAGAAAATACTCACATAAGACATTAATGTTTATTGTGTTGGACTTTCCAGTTCCATGCTTGTTCTGAGCTTCGCAGTAATATGATCCACTGTCTGAAGCTTTGATTGATGAAAATTGAAGCTGACCATCCTTGATCTTTGTGTTACTTTTAAACCAGATGAAAGTGACATTTGTTCCTTTAGCAGAGCATGTGAGACTTACACGGTTTCCCTCCTTTACACTTCCAGGACTTTTCATTGCTCTTACTTCTTTAGGGGGATCTGTTTCCACCAAATCAGGACAAGATAAGGAATCAGTTCACACAGCATTGTTTATAGCTCATATACTGCATGCTTTTCTTGTTTTTGTTTTATTCAGGTAACACTCAACAGAAAAAAGACAGCAATAATGAACTTTCATGTCTTACATTCTACAGTCAAGTTGATTTTCCGCATCAAATACTCGTCCATATTTTCTTGGGTCTGACATGAAAATTCGCTCCCATCATCCTTCCAGCTGGGAGTCAAGCTCCGGCTGATGCTTTTGGTTGTTTCATTGTTACTCTTGGTTGGAGATCCCAGACTTTCTTCTGAGGGCAGCTGGTTCAGTCGGTCAATTTGTAGATCAGAATCACATGAAATTAATGTTGAACATGTGAGCGTTACGCTGATATTCTCCTTTACAGCTGGTGGTTGGCTAAAAGTGATAGGGCATGCATTTTCTGAAAAATAATTATATAAATATATAAAAAAATGTTAATGGGTTATATTAGTCTTATTTATATTACTGATTTAATGACCAAAGCAAACCTCTGAGTTGGTGTTATTAAGTAATATGGTTCTGTCAGAGGCTGTTAAACAAAACTACCATTATAGTAGCAGATTTAAAACTTCAGGTATGAATATTTATTTTTTTACTAAATGATCTGTAAAATCCAAAGAATATTCTTTGATGTTTGCAACCAATATTCTAAATATAATCGCTGGACATTTAGCAGGGATTTTTGTACAGTTATGTACAAACTGTACTTTAAACTTACCCTGAACAGTTAGATTCCATGGATCAGTCTTCCATTTATCGTCTCCTACAAATCTGCACTGGTAAAGTCCACTGTCTGATTTCCTCAAGTCACAGATCAATATTCTGTACACTTGTTCTAAATCCAGTTTACCTCGTTTTGGTGAGCTGATATGCTTAACTCTGTATTTAAACTCTGCACTGACAGACCGTTGTGACTCATTTGTGCTTGAAACGACGGTGCCAACAAAGTCTTTTATTTTTTCTGACCAGTTGGCATTCTTCATCCAAAACCAGTAGGCAGTGTCAAATGTGTTAAACAATTCACCTGGATTACATTTCATTTCAATACAGGACCCCTCCTTAGCAGTTAGAGTCCTCTCTACCAAGGTAATATGTTTTTCACAATGATAAAAATCTGTTGTAGACAGAAAACAAATAGAAAAAAGTTATACACTTTATTCCATAAGCAAAATATATCATCAATTTATTAGTGTAATTTTTAAGAAATGTACGTACTTATCAGGATCAAAAGTAAAACCAACTTTACTAAAAGAGTGTCCATTGTCTTTCTTCGCTTAGGGACTTCCTTTTTGCTCTTCTAGATCAGCAGGTCTGTTTCCTTCTTATGTCCAAGGTCGCTGGGATTTTGAAATTAGAAACATTCTAGAAAAATGGTGCATTTTTAGGTGGAGGACAGATAAAGATTTTAAAATCATTAACCTCCATGTAGCAGTTTATAAAGATTCAATTGGAGTTTTACACAATTTCTAATTATTTTGTCAAGCATTGGATCTTTTTTGTAAGACGTGGTGCTGTTGTGCTTACATATCTGCTTTTTACCAGTCATACACTAAAAGTACAATCGAAACACTTCATGTGTATATCAGTGAACACACCTCCCTACATATAATTTGATAAATGTACATAAACCAAACATGGAAAAGTCAACTTGTAGTTACACAAAGGAGCCCTAACGGAACAGTAGCGTATGTCATATTTTCTATTTGCAGAATTGAGTTAGAGCGACTTAAAAAATTTTTTCGCTTTTCTTGATGTAAAAATTAATTTTGATACTTTCTTAATACATCAAATATCAACTGAAATATTGGTTAAAAATGCTTCCTCTGCATAAATAGTTTGCAGCCATGTACCACTGGATGACATTATTCTTTACACTCAAAGATTAGTCTAAATTTATTTGAAAATAAACAAAATAAAACAATATTTATAAAAGATAAATACGAATGTTCCTACCTCAGTTGGTTCACTAACATCAGCTAGAAAAATAGCCGTCTTCAGTTAAAAAACTTTTTTAAAAAAGGAAGTCTTCACAGTTCACCAGAACTCTTAAATAATTTGCATGAAAACAAAACAAGCAGGAGAACACAACCCTTCGACGCATTTGTGAACAACCTTTTTTTTCTTGGGCTTACTCTGTGCATGTGGTTACATTTCCTCCCACTTCCTCCATGATCAGCTTGTTTAATACAAAGATCTGTTAATCAGAGTTTGTGAAGGAAGTCATGCCTAAAAGCTTTTAGAAACCTACAAACATATAAGACTCTTACAAAACATATAAACACACACATATATATATATATATATATATATATATATATATATATATATATATATATATATATATATATATATATATATATATATATATATATATATATATATATATATATATATATATATATATATATATATTAGGGCTGTCAAAATTATCGCGTTATTATCGCGTTAACGCGAGGCCATTTTAACGGCGATAATTTTTTTAACGTGAGATTAACGCTATGTGGTTTTATGGTAAAATTTTCCAAGTACATCCCGCTGCAGCCTGCGGGGAGGCGGGGCTATTTTCCCCCAGTGTATGCATTTCTCATAGGCTTCAAGAGCGGAGCTCCTCAAGGAAAAAAGACGCTCATACACTGGGTGACGCTAGTGCCTTTTCTTTAAGCCCCACCACCAACAAACAAGTTGAGTGTCTGGTAACTAGTAGCAACCTGAAATACGCTGAGAAAACAGATTACTGAGGTGAAATGGAATCTGCTACGGCACTCTTGCTGTCACAGGTCGGTATCGTGTGTGTGTGTGGGTGGGTGTGTCTGTGTGTGGGTGGGTGGGTGCTTGTGTGTGTGTTCTCATTTTTGTTAAGAGTCTGAAAAGTAACTTTCATAGACTACCTCCATCTAGTGATGTCGGTCTATTGATTTTGATGTATTGATTGAAAATTGTTCATTATTATCTTGGTTAATTAACATCTAATGTTAACTGTACTACATTTTATAGCAGTAGGGTAAAATGCTTGTCTTTGTTCAAAAGACTGTATTAACTGTAAAGACTGTCTTTTACATCAGCCTGTTTTCAGGGCCTTTTTTTTGGCTACATATTTGTTATTTTTTGCTACATGCCTCCCCATCTTCTTGCCATATGTTTCTATGGCATAAATCAGTATCTGTGACCTGTTTTCATTTAAAAAAAAGAACATTGGCACAAACCTAGCCTGTATGTATTTTTTGTATGTCATCGAGAGTATTTAAATGATTTTCAATCAGAAAAAAAATTTGCGATTAAAATGCGATTAATCGCGAGTTAACTCAGGCATTGATGCGATTAATCGCGATTAAAAAATTTTAATCGATTGACAGCACTAATATATATATATATATATAATATTCTACATTTTAGCAATATTCAGCATTGATTGATTGAATTAATAAGAAAATGTTTTTTCTTTGCCATTGGATCTGTTAATAAGGAAATGCATTGTTAGTTGTTAAAATGGAGAGACACAGAGTAAAATAGAATGGAATAGAATAGAAAATCTATTTATTCTCCCACAATGGGGAAATTGTGGTGTTTAAAGCAACGAAGTTATAGTAGAAGTGGTCACATAGGGGAAATGTTAGAGTGATAATTATAAAATTATTGTGTGGACATATGAAACATTGAAAGAAAGAAGATGCTACATTTCTATCCTGTGATTCAATCAGAAGGGTCATAAACTTTTATGACCTCCATCCAGTAGGTCATGAGGCAGAGTCACACGGTTGTGCGACTTCCATCCAGCCAGATGGTCATTTATAAAAGGAATGCTTTTTGAAAACTGTCTAAATGTATTGACTGTAGGTGGCAATATAACTTTTCAGCGCCAAGTAATTCTGGTTACCTTAATCCTGATGTTGTATAACAATGTTTCTCATTATTAAGGTTTGCAACTGATGTTTTGCTGATGGACATATTTCTAAACTTCAGAATTTTCCTAAGAACATCGCTGTGTTAGAAAGAACACAATTACATTTTAAACCAGAAATAATCAGCTTTTCCTCCCTAATTTACTAAAAATAAATATGAACAATTATCTAAAAGCCATGCTTCCTATGGAAGCTTAAATAGACCTATGAAATATTTTTTTCAATGAAAACAATTAGGTATACATTTAAATTGTAACGGCCTCTATCCATACTCACTGTCCAGGACTCCAGTGCAGAAAGAAAAGCGTGGTTAAGCTTGTTTAATGTTTTCTTTTTGAGCAAAGGAATGCTGGGAGCAGTAGGCCAATCCAAAGGCACCAAAACAAAAACAGACATCTGACAGTGAGACAATTAAGGCTGTGTTTCAGTGTGTGTTTCATCGCTTGTTTCAATTAAGGAGAGGGTGAGGTGAGAAAACTCCCATGACATTGTTGATGATAATAATCTGGTATTAAAGCTACAGAGTGTAATTTTCAGTGACATCTAACGTCCAGACTGCAGACCGCAGCAACATGAACATCTCCCCCCCACCGCTTCTCCCCCCCAACAGTACGGCGAGCGTTACGGGACAAAATGTCTTCCACGATCAGTGTTGGGCACGTTACTTTGAAAAAGTAATTAGTTATAGTTACTAGTTACTTCTCCCAAAAAGTAACTGAGTTACTAACTGAGTTACTCCACAATAAAAGTAACTAGTTACTAGTAAAAGTAACTATTGCGTTACTTTTCCGTTCCTCGCCCCCGTAAACCTCACCACCCGGCCCCCACCTTCTCGCCGTGTGTTTCCAAAGCCAGCTGAATAGAGCGGACGACAAAGACAAGAACCTGCAGACAGTTTAGCATTTATTGCAACTCAACGTAAATGACATCAGGGGGGAACGCGATGTGAAGTTTTATAACAGGACATTCAGATCTGGTGAGTATATGAAATTAATAACTGGGGATGTCTAATTCTGAAATCCTGTGTGTTTGGGTTGTTATAGATACTGCAACATCTATCTATCCATCTATCTATCTATCTATCTATCTATCTATCTATCTATCTATCTATCTATCTATCTATCTATCTATCTATCTATCTATCTATCTAGATCTATACTCTGCGTGTGACATAAAATATGGATCTCCATCCCTGCCACAAAGGCCATCAAATAATGTTTAAAATAAAAAATACAGTAGGTTGAGAAGGCAGAGTATCCATCCATCCATCCATCCATCCATCCATCCATCCATCCATCCATCCATCCATCCATCCATCCATCCATCCATCCATCCATCCAGATTTCTCCCTTTCTCCATATAGGCTATCATTTCTGGCTGTTGTCAGGTTCATTTGATCGTTCACGCTCTCCATAGTTCTCCTGTGGCGCGAGCACAGAGCGACTGTTGCGCGCCTTTAGCGAGCATGCGCGTTTCCTGCCGCTTGCGCGGTGACTCTTGCCGCCTGCGCTGTGTGGAGATGCAGAGGAAACCGTTATGTGATGGGGAAACGCAGCTCTACGTAACACCGGTATTTCCATGTGGAAAACGCTGTTTTGCTGCTGGAGTCATCCTCACTCTCCATCTCTCTGTGTGTGCTGTACGTTAACACCCACCAGCAGAAACACCCACCTTTTCAACTGACAGACGGAATCTCATCCTCCCCTCTCTCATGACAAGGCGCGCACCTCTTGATGACCTAAAAAATAATCTTTAATATCTCTTAAACAAAAGTAGCACAAACAATATTTTTTTCTGCACAAATCTGCACTAACGTTGCACTAACCATTCAGTCTATTTGCAGAGTTTTTTGACGTGGGTGGGGTGTCAGCTTCACGCAGCTGCGCACGAGTCCTATCATGAAAAAAGGTTCATTGTGCGACCTGAGTAACGCGCAGTAACGGGGTGTCTGCAATGGTAACTGCGTTATAGTTACAGTCAAAGTAATTAGTTAGATTACTCGTTACTAAAACAAGGTAACGGCGTTAGTAACGCCGTTAGTTTCAACGCCGTTAGTCCCATCACTGTCCACGATGTCCGCATCACCTACCTTCTCAAGTGATGAGGTTTGTTTACATAGATAATTTTACAGATAGTATATACTGCCATCTATTGTTCAGTACCGTCTCAGTTCATCTCTCTCAACTTGCCGTAGTTACTTTCGAGCGTAATGGGCGAAACCTGCAATCGCTAGTTTGTTGGCTCTGTGCTGCCGTAGCGCAAAGATGTCTGCCTCCATGGCTGCGAGACCCGCTCCTATGTTATTATAAATAACGAATTCTCAGGCAACGGAAATATTAAGGTTAAGAGGCTGAGCTCGTAGATGATGATAAATAACATAGTGATGTATAATATATAACATATATATCATTTATGACTGTATATCCCTGTAATTATTACACACCGTAGCTTTAAAGGCAAACGAATAAAAACAACCCAGATTAAAAGACTGAAGAATAAGTCCCACTAATACCAGGGAAATTTAAAGTATGTAATTAATTTTGTCTTATAGAAGATGTTGTAATGCTGTCATTATAAAAGCAATACTTATTTTACTCAGTACCAAATACATTTCAGAAGACATGCTCAAGAATTACACACCATGATATTTCACTTTGTTGCTCATAATTTATTGGTAAATTTATTTTGATACATTTTTATATTTGGATTATTTGGGTAACCAACATCTAACACCAAGCAGCAATTGAAGAATATTTCCTTTGCTCAATCTTTAATTTCTCAACAGTAAATGAACATCTTATATTATAAAAGTGGTGTTTCACTACACAGAAAACAGCTCACATAGTTAAATACGGTTGCTTTATTTCCCCCCCTCCACTGCAGCTGCCACTATTTTCTCAGCATCAGCAGCCATTTCATCAATAGCACCATTTAAAGCTTGCAGCATGGCAGTGAAGGAGCGGCTGGCCAAACGCGCATGTCTAGGCAGCGCCATTTCCACTAACTTTGACGAAACGGTAGCCAAGTCCTTCTCAGCTGCAGCAAGTCTTCTTTTAACTTCCCCTTTAGTGACCTCAACTGACAACGCACAAGTTCGCAGTTCTTTAAGCCTTGTTGGTTCCAGGTGCCGCTGTCGAGCCGTTCGCTCGATCGATTCATCATCAACGCACAGAGATATCTGGGCTTTTGTTAAAATCCGCACTGCAATGCTCGAGTCCACCATAGATGCCACAAGGGGAACAGGAATGGCTGACATCCCACCGGATAGGGAGGCAGCTGCCCATATGAGTGCTTTAAACGCCTCCTTTTTCAGAGTAACCAGTGTTGGGGTGAGTGTGGGTAATGCCAGAAGAAGGGCGTGAGCCCGGATCTCAGGAAGGTCTTTGGTAACATCTACCAAGAGGCCAGGAAAGTCTAACTTCTCAAGATTCAAAGGTCTAACCAGGTAGATTTTAGGCTGTTTCACACCCTGTGATTTCAGTACCTCCAGACTTGCTTTCCTCTTTTCTTCCAAACTCTTATCTGTGTCTTTCATGGAACCTAAGAGAACAAAATACACTGTTTTCTGCTGCAGTGAAAGAGCCTCCAAAAAAACCTCCACGCAGTTTGGTTGTATGATTTGTGTAAACGTCATAAAGACAGCATTATAACGAAGGAACTTATATCTACTTATGTATCCCTCTGGTTCAAATGGGGATGTGATTGGGACAGGTGGCAGATCCCAAAGACGGAAGTCTGGGTGTTTGGGATTTGGGTAACCACCTACTTCCTCTGGGGTGACAGGAGATTGAGAAGGGGCTGAACCTTCATCCTCAGGTCCAAGGCCATGAAGGGAGTTAATAAGGGAGAATTTTTCATCTCCACGCTCCCCAACGACAGCAAGGTTGATCCTACTGATAAGAAGATCTTCAACGGCGTCCTTTACATCAGAAAACTTGTTGCTCTCCATCGACTCTTTAAGAGTCTCAATGAGATTTATGCCTTTGAGTAGATCAGCCATTTCTGTTGGAAAATGAGGATGGATATAACATGATCAGAAAGCCAGATAATATTCAGGAAGTATCCTAAATTTTTCTATGATAACATCAGTAGACAAAAGTTTCTTTGTGACCTCCCACAATATTGCTTTACTGGTAGAGATCCGTGGATAGCATGAAATGAGACAAATCATTTTAGTAGAATTCAATTGGACAAACTTTTTTTTATTGAGAACAAAAAATCCAAGTTTGAGAAAAATGCTATTCAGCAAATCATCCCATAATAATGCCCAGGGGATGCATTTTAAAAGACTACTTAAGCTGTGATAGATTACTCAAGTGTTATATTTACATTTTTGTGACTTGATGGTTCAACAATTTAAAGTCTCTGGTGTGATGGTTGACTGTTCTTTGTCTTGATCTCACCACATTACTTATATTATTTTGAAAATGGGAAGAGCAATTAGTGCTTCAAGGGAATGCTTCACTTAAATGGCAAATAGTTCAGAGTCCAGTCTGATGTCATCTTGACTATTGCTCTCCAGTTTGGAAATCTGCTGCCATGGGTGAACTCAAAAAGCTCCAGGTTGCTCAAAAAAAGGCAGCATGGTTGGAACTCAGCTGCTCCATTAGAACGCATGTCAACCAGATGCATGGTCGCCTTTCCTAGCTTACTGTACAGTTGAGAATAAGCTGCTTTAAATACACTTGTGCTGTTTAAGTCATGAGAGGTAATGTTACAGCATTTATACATTCACAAATTGTTTTTTCTAATTTTGTTCACAACACTAGAGCTTCCAGTAATGGCCAGCTTGTTTTACCAGGTCCAAAACCCAATGCTTTAAAAATATCTTTCATATATAGGTCATTGCGCTGAGACTCCAACTGATGCCCTGAAGTTCTTATGTTTTATTGGATGATTTAATTTATCTTCTGTTTTATTGGCTGTTTTATTTTACTTGTTCTTTTGTGCATTATCTGATAATTTCTAAACTATATGTTGAGAAATGACATAAGCTTTAAAAATTTTATGTTTTTGTGGCTGTGCTTTGTACTGTATTTTTTTTATTATGGACCCCAGGAAGTCTAGCTGTTTGCCATGGCAACAGGCAATGGAGATCCGTGATAAAATGTCAAATTACAAATCATATTGCACTCCCAAACTGTGAGGGCTACACCTTCAAGTTGCTTTTTAAACAAGCATGAAAGTCTCTGTTTTCATTTCGAATATATTTGTGAATGACTTTCATTTGGCTGTCAGCTTTGTTTTCTGGCTCCTAAATTCTAGAATAATTTCCCTTCTAACATTAGACAGGCTTCTTCACTTCCTCTTTTAAAAACACATCTGTTTACCCTAAAGTTTGACCCAGTCTGAAATGTATTTTATTGGGTTTTATTTTATGTGTGTTTAATTCTTTTCTGATTCTTTCTGTTTAAATTTATTCAATGTATCTTTATCTCTCACCTTTAAGTGTTCAGGACTTTGCTATCAGTTTTTTTGTTTTTTTATGTGCCACTATGAATAAATTTGACCTAACTTTGTTTTACTCAATGTTTGATAAAACAAAGGTATTACTTAATGTTAAAGAATTTAGCCCCTCATTAAAGGCTGTTACTGTTAATGATAGAACCTGATATTATATTTTTCAACAGGAAAATTCAAAAACCCTGTTTGACATGATCATCTCCATTGTTTGTCCAGCTGGTCCCCCAAATTCCTTTTTTTTTCTGTAGCTAATAAAAATGACTTTCTTTGAGTTTTTTTTTATTTTTATTTTTTTAGATATGTTAAGGTGAACTATTCTCTTAATCCGTATTCTGTCTGTGACCTTCTTCCATCACATCTATGGTCCGCATTCAGGCCTGTGAAACTACATTAAGTGACTTCCCTGCTGTCAAAAAAGTATGTGAGTTTCCCTTTGATTAGCTTAGAGAAGTGATTGGGAAAAGGTTCTATGCATGGCTCCCTGACCAAACCACTGATCTCCATTTGTTCACTGGATTGCTGATTGCCCGTTGTTAGTACAGGGTTGAAGTGAAGCCACCAGCCGCCATATTGGTACTCCCTAGTTAGACCAGTCTCAATGTAAACAATACTGTATATGCATCAAACATTTTCAACACTTTTAAAATAAAGATAAATTCATCTATTCTATTTTCTAACGTTAGACACAATGTCAATGGTTAACTCAGTCAATATCTTCGAGTTGGACCGAGATGGCAAGAATAATGTTATACTACATACTATACTATAGGATACATCAGTGTATATGTGAATTTCTTGGTTAGTACATCCACTGACTGTGAAATTACTTGTGAAATGACTTCCCACAGCCATAAAACTGCTTGTTTTTGCGGCCACACAAGTTGCCATTTTTAATGCGTGACTCGGTGAGAGTGGGGCGTACCAATATGTACCAGTATGCAACTGTTGGCTTCACTTTTTTTAGGCAATCAACTTCGCATTTTCATAAATCACTTTCTATCTGAATTGGCATAGCTTACACATCGAATCCCTCAGAGTTTTTCTCTAGTAATATTGTCCAATGCTCCTTTATTGGGGCTTGCATGCGATTTCAGAGTTTCACAACCTACTTTAATTCACAGACATACATTAACAGCCTTGACAATGTCATTTTATATATATATATATATATATATATATCTAAACCAGATTGGTTTGGATAGTTTTTTTTGTGTTTTTTTTTAATTTACCAGCTACAGTATATTAAACTGAAATTTAGTTATTTATTATACAAGTTATCTTTGTCTGATATTTAACATTTTTGATGATCTCAAATATCTAAGACAAGTTCTTTTAAGTTCTTTACACGTGACTTCCCTTTTTCAGCAACAACCACCAAAAGCTAGATAAGTATGATGCCAAAAACATAATATACCGTATATAATATACAGTAAGATGTGATTGATCGATGAACCAAAGGTTTCCCATAATCTCTATCATATTCACTGATTTATATACATGTATGAAGTTGATTTAAAAGATTTTGCAACGCTCCCTAAACCTATTTGCAGGTTTGAACCTTACTCGATCACCAACGCGTTGCATTCACTTCTAGAAACAGTAAAAGCCACCTAAGACCTCCAGGATAATTGCATGTATTATAACAGGTTGAACATTACAATACCACATATTTAGCCCAGCAACATTTCAATAACCTACCTGACTGTCTGACGGGGAAGGACGTAATATTTTGCAACTAGTGCTGATTCTTCTGTGATACAGCAGCACCTGCAGCACCTGACTAATCTATTTAAAGCATTCATCCAGCTAGTGGAACTTTCTAATCCCACTGGCTCAGCTCTTTAATCCTGTATCTGGTAAATCCCATACATTTATACAGTGTGTAAGCATATATTAACCACACCTCTAAATAAAATGAGATCACTTTAACTTTTCTTTTGCAATTTGACACCTAAAAATCAGGAACTATTTTGTTGTTATTTTACATATTAGCACAACAGAAGGTGCTAATTGTGGTGGTGAGAGATTACAAATATTTTCAATCAGTGTTTTACAAACAGACGTCTTTGCCAGGCAGACATATTCAGATCTTTGATTTGCTTTTAAGACCACCTTTCACCGAAATTCCAACTTGAGGTCTGTTGCAGAAGCTCTTTATCAGCTGTATACATCTAGAGACAGACATATTTTCCCATTATTTGCCTTATAATTGTTTGTTTTTTTGAAATAGATGGACAATACCCTCAACTTTGCAACCCACACATACAAACTATTCAAAATACAATCAGAATACAGTTCATAATGCTATCAGAATATACTTTTTGTGTCTTTTTCATTACTTTTTATTGGTGAAAAACATTGTTTTTTTATGTAGTCTTTGCTCCGTGCTCCTTTCCTTTTGGGACATCTTTAGGACTTCATCACCATGTCTTCCAGTGCTGACTCATTGTGCTCCAAGTCACTGTCTGCTTCCTCAGGTCCTGAGTACCTTCATTGTTTCCACGATAAGCTCCTGCTTGCTATGTTGGTAGGTTTCCCATTTGACACTCTTTCAGTTTTTAACTGATTGTTGAACAATCTTTCCTGAAATGCTCAAATCTTAGGAAATCATTTTGCAAACTCAACAGTGCTTTAAATTTCTCCACAGCAATATCCTGTCCCATCTGGTGTCTTTTCTTGGTATTCATGATGCTGTTTAATGTTTTCTACCAAAACTCAGAAAAAAACTGTTATTATACTGCGTTCAAATTACACATTATAAACTTTGATTTCAAAATATGCAGGCTTTTGTTGAAAATTGCTCAGAGTTTCTCTGAATTTTCTGGTTGAGTAAGTAGAAGCAAAACATATTTCCATGCAAAAGATTTTAATAAAATAGTTGATAAATGTTCATTACACTTTAAAATGATTTACTTCCTTATTTTGCATAAACACTACATACAGTATATGGTAAATGAATGTTTATTACAGCTTCAAAAGAGTCAAGTTTTTATAGCACTTTAGCAAAGCAATGTTAAGACATAAACAAACTGATGATTGTGCAAAAAAGACATTTTTCCCTGGAGTTTTCATACAACAGTTTTTATGTGACAAATTCAGACTGGTGAGCACAAATCTGCAGGATATACTGTAGGCATTTATTTGCTAAATGAAGGCCCTGTTGAATCATTATGTTTTTGCTTACAGTAGACAATGACCTAATACATTGGTAAAAGTATCAGGTTTATTTTATTGCACAGTTGTTTACACATAGCTGATTCAAATTTTTCCCCTTACCTCACAATCAAAATAACTGAAAGACAAAATGTTGATGAGTTATCGCTACACTTATCTGCAAACAAGATTTCACTAAACACCTGCACTGCACTGCAGGTTCAATGCAGCTATAAAAGCAAAATAAATAAGAAGCTTCTGTTTCTGTTGCTAAATTTTTCTTTTTGCAGCGATCAAACAAAGAAAATCAACAATCTTTTCTTTTTTTTTAACTGAACCTTAAAATACTGAGAAAAACCCCAACATTTTTTACAAAAAGTTCAGTAAAGAGGAACAATGTTATAGGGATATGCACCGCTGTTCAAAAACCTTTTGATTTACTCAGCCAAGTTTCACTCTGCTCATTAAGAGGAACCATCTATGCAAAGCACATCTGACACCTGCTTGCTTTACCAGAAGCTACTTTAATTTCCCATCTTTCAACACAATCACTTTCTCCCTTAAACCAATTCATAGAGAGAAATCTCTCTACTTTTCTCTTTGTTGCTTCTAGAATACATTTGTAGCCAATGCAAGATACACTATATTGCCAAAAGTATTTGCTCACCTGCCTTGACTCACATATGAGCTTAAGTGACATCCCGTTCCTAATCCATAGGGTTCAATATGACATCGGTCCACCCTTTGCAGCTAGAACAGCTTCAACTCTTCTGGGAAGGCTGTCCACAAGGTTTAGGAGTGTGTTTATGGGAATTTTTGACCATTCTTCCAGAAGCGCATTTGTGAGGTTGCACACTGATGTTGGACGAGAAGGCCTGGCTCTCAGTCTCCGCTCTAATTCATCCCAAAGGTGTTCTATCGGGTTGAGGTCAGGACTCTGTGCAGGCCAGTCAAGTTCATCCACACCAGACTCTGTCATCCATGTCTTTATGGACCTTGCTTTGTGCACTGGTGCACAGTCATGTTGGAAGAGGAAGGGGCCAGCTCCAAACTGTTCCCACAAAGTTGGGAGCATGGAATTGTCCAAAATGTCTTGGTATGCTGAAGCATTCAGAGTTCTTTTCACTGGAACTAAGGGGCCAAGCCCAGCTCCTGAAAAACAACCCCACACCATAATCCCCCCTCCACCAAACTTTACACTTGGCACAATGCAGTCAGACAAGTACCGTTCTCCTGGCAACCGCCAAACCCAGACCCGTCCATCAGATTGCCAGATGGAGAAGCGCGATTCGTCACTCCAGAGAACGCGTCTCCACTGCTCTAGAGTCCAGTGGCGGCGTGCTTTACACCACCGCATCCGACGCTTTGCATTGCACTTGGTGATGTATGGCTTGGATGCAGCTGCTCGACCATGGAAACCCATTCCATGAAGCTCTCTGCGCACTGTTCTTGAGCTAATCTGAAGGCCACATTAAGTTTGGAGGTCTGTAGTGATTGACTCTGCAGAAAGTTGGCGACCTCTTCGCACTATGCGCGTCAGCATCCGCTGACCCCGCTCCGTCAGTTTACGTGGCCTACCACTTCGTGGCTGAGTTGCTGTCGTTCCCAAACACTTCCATTTTCTTATAATACAGCTGACAGTTGACTGTGGAATATTTAGGAGCGAGGAAATTTCACGACTGGATTTGTTGCACAGGTGGCATCCTATCACAGTTCCACGCTGGAATTCACTGAGCTCCTGAGAGCGACCCATTCTTTCACAAATGTTTGTAAAAACAGTCTGCATGCCTAGGTGCTTGAATTTATACACCTGTGGCCATGGAAGTGATTGGAACACCTGATTCCAATAATTTGGATGGGTGAGCAAATACTTTTGGCAATATAGTGTATATTTGACTTTAAGAAGAATCACAATCCTTCTATCAACATGTCTTTCCTCAGGCTGCTGCAGTCATATTTGATCCTTTAGCTTTTTCACATTGGAATAGACTGGAACAGCCTCATTTTCCACAGCTTCTGTTGCACAGAGTGTTTCTTCCTCCTCTTCCTGCCCTTCTCCATCCCCCTTCATCCCTGCTCCTTTTTGCCTAATCTTAGCATACTCCGTTTCTGATTTATTTGGTTTTTCATCTGCATTTTCCTCAGAATTTTGTTGTTTTCCTAACAACAAATTAACATCAGAATATTCAATCTCTGATGTTACAACTTCTGGGCTTTCAGATCTTCCAGCAGTCCCTTGGACGTGGATCGGCTCGTAATCTCCTGTGTTGTCACCATTTGCCTGTGATGTAAAACATGAAATATCCTTTGACTTTTCTTGCATTTCTGTTCCACACATTATGAAAATAACCACCAGGTGTCACTAATCTCACTGTGACAGAGTTCCTCAGTCTTGAACATGACTTACCTCTTGAGTTATCATCTCCAGGGTCTCTGATATATCTCCATGGGATTTCTTTTTTTTCCTATAAACAAAAATACAAACATACTTTTTTTTCCTGTACAAATGCAATGGAATGTATAAACAAATCTAAAGTTAGATGAAGGGATATTTATTTCCCTCTCTTCAGAATTGTTATGTCCTAAGAGATATTTTTTCATAACTATACCTATACAAAATAATCTTCGTCTTAGAGGAGGAATACAGCTATTTAATACCACGCAGTGATAGATTCTTACATTTGGATATGTATGGTAATGAAAGGTATACCTGCAGCAAAGCAGCAACAAGCAGCAAACAATTGCTGAAAGTAGCAAACCAATCAAAAAGGGAATAATTTTTCCCATTTGTGTAACAGTCCTCAGCAAATTTGTGAAATATCCTGCAAAAAAAAAAAAGTTAGAGCTACAACCAAAAATATGTTAAATGAAAGAGTTATACATTTTCAAAAGTTACCTTCCTCTTCCACTTCACTTGTAGTAAGATTCCTTTTTGTTTCCCCATTTTTATTCCTACTCACACAAATAGCAGAAACACTCATGGGATTTATCACTTTTATGAAGATGGTGCTGTTGACTGTGTAGTTTGACACAGTGGTTGTGACAGAGTAGTGAGTATAGTTCCCAAATGGCTCCCATGTGATTGTGGGTGAAGGAAAGCCTTCACTGATGCACCAGCAGGTCAGGGCATCCGAATAAGCGTTACATTCAGACTTCTTTAGGATCTTAGGCAGCACTGCATGGAGACAGAATCCTATTAAAAACATCCATCCTGCATAATGTCCCAAAACTACTCGACTAGGAAAGTTACACACCTATTTTATATACATTTAAAATAAAGTACATTTATCAAAAGTATATTAAACTTTATATACAATAATACACATATAACCTTCTGCAATATTTTCCCATATAGTCTACAAATATTGTTTTTCTATCCTTATCTTTGTGTTTTATTTACATTAAAACAAGCTTTTAAAAAAATGTTTTACTTTTTTGTCTGTGACTTTAAAGAGGAAACCATACAACTGTGAGAATAGTACAAAACATCTTCTTGGTGACACCAAAACTCAAGACAAACATATAGATCAGGTAAATAAATATTGTTATATTTCAAGAGACTAACCTTTAAGAAAAATTAAATACATACTGCATTGAAGAAAAGTCATGTGCTTACCATTCACCTTGATGTAAACTTCTTCTGTGACAGTGACATTCTGATGCTTTGCTGAACAGATATAGAGTCCACTACTTTCAACTGTTACGTTAGACATGATGAGTCTGGCTGCGCCTGTGCCATTTTCTAAAGCTGTTCTCAACCCATGTTTGGTCCAAGTGATGAACGACAATGGCCAACTATCGACGCTGCAGGTCAGGTTCAGATCATGGCCCTCTGTAACTGTGCTCTCTCCAGTGATTTTAGGTCTCTTTTGATCTAATGAACAAATTATTAAACATTTACATATAATTAGGGCTTTTTTCATGCTATTTTTAGTCAAAATTATTATAGATGAAGGAAAGATGTCCTCATTGCAGGTCAAATTTAGTGGTCCCTTCCTATCTCTAAGGCAAATTTTATAGCAATTCAAATGATCAAATTATAGGTAACAATCTAACCATTATTATATAGAACATGTAAAACACAACACTTTTTTTTTAGCAGGGCACTTTTTTAAGATTATTTTCTAAGAGTTCAAATCAAGTTATAAATCTTTAATTTGTTCCATCAGAATATACTTTCTTGTCTGACTTTAACGGTGCATTTCTGAGGGTTAACGATTCCAATCCTGTTGTGGTTTATCCTTTGGCCTGAACATCAGTCTTCAGAACAACAACAACAAAAAAATGCTATAAAATTCTGTAAATTATTAAGAAAAGACATAATATTAAATTCTTTGTGTAAAGAAATGTGTTTTTATGAAAAAAGTAGTTGTACTACTAAATGTTGAAAATTCGAAGACAATTTGTAAGGACATAGTTAGCTCTTGTTTATCCATGTTTTAAATCGAAGCGTTCCTTCGCTATAACCTTTTAGGAAACAAATCGTACCCTAATGTACTGTATGAACTCAACAATATTTGAGGGGCGTACTTCTGTGAATAGGACAGAATCATGATTTTGTATCTTTTTTTATTATTATTATTGAAAGAAAGGCTTTTATTTTGAAAAAGTCAGATGAAGCTTTCTGATATTGCATACTACCGGTATAAATCAATTTTCCCAACTTTTTTGGACTTATGTACCCCTTTTATCTTACAATCAGAACCCCTCTCTGTCAAAAGTATTGATTGTCCAAAAGTTGAACGTACAATAACTGATTATAAAATAGAAAACTATTTTATTTAATCTTTTTAACTTCTGCATTTAAAGTTGAGAAATTGGGTACAAAATACAGAACAAAAATTGTATTCAGACTGACTCCATAAATTGTACTTTGTTTTCATCATTCATGACACCTGAGCTGAGCTTGCTTTGATCAGGTGTGGCAAAACAGCTGATCTCAGGCTGTTCTCTACTTCCAGTCTCTTCCTCTGCTTGGTTTTGATGTATTTAAAAGCTGAAGATGAATTCAAACATGTAAGAAAAGCTTTCTTTTTGTTTGAAAAATGCTTTTTTTTTATTTTTTAGTTGGGTACTTACAAAGTAAAACCAGCCCCATTTTATTTTATTACCACAAAAATTTAATATTTTCATGTACCCCTTGCAATGCACACGCTGACCACTAGGAGTACCAGTACCCCTGGTCGGAAATCACTGCTATATATTATTAACTAAATTTAAAAAAAAACTCTCAGAAACAAGATACGTAGAATCTAGTTCAAGAGCCATTACTGTGGCCGTTATTATTTTGTTAAAGCTAACATGAACACAGTTATTCTGTATTTTTAAAATCAGTTTTAAGGAGCTATAGCTGTTTTTATTTCTTTTTATATTTGTATTTTTCATTGTAGAATGCTTACTGTTGTGTTTTTTTATGTACACTATTTTAAGATCTGTCCAGGGACAACAGATGAAAAATAGCCTTTTGGCTAATTCTGGTGCATATGCCGGAATGCTTTTTAATGTACACTGTACCCGTCAAATAAATAAATAAATTAAATTAAATAAAGAGAGAGGATGATCTTCCCTTAATCAAGCACACCATTTCTGCTGCTAAAATGTGACTTGAGTTGAAACTGAACTTGGCAATTATAGATTTTTTTTCTCACAATACATGGATTAGACCTTTAAAATGTAAGCTCTCTTATGGGTTGTGATGCTTCTAAATTTGTCGTGGGTTAGCTGCCTACTTACATATCACAGTAATGTTAATGTTTTGCACCAATTTCTTCTTAGGGTACACTGCAGAACAATAATACTGCCCAGAATGTTCCTCTGTCACGTTATGGATCAGCAGAGTCAATGTTTCAAGTCCAGGTTCACTCTTCAGGGTGACGTTTAAGCCAGGTTTAGTCCATGTGATGATAGAAGAAGGAAAAGCATCAACAGTGCAGGTCAGATTCAGGCTCCCGTTTTGTCTAATGGTGGATTCACCAGTGATCGTTGGTGTTTTTATCCCTTTGAAATACATGTCAGAAAACTCTGTAAAGCACTTGTTCGAACATAAAATCAGTATTTTATCAAGTATTATCGTATTAACTCACTTTTTACTTTTATGTCCACATTTTCTGTCAGAGTCGTGTTCTGGTGTTGTTCAGTGCACATGTACAGACCAGAGTTCTCGCTTGTCACATTATGAATGATGAGGGTTGCTGTTCCGGTGCCATTGATCAGGCTTGTATTGGAGGCAAGTTTAGTCCAAATGAGGAGAGATTGAGGAAAACCCTTACAGATAAGTCTAAGTGTGTCACCCTCCTCAATAGTCTTCTCTCCAGTAATTTCAAGTTTCTTCTTATCTGAGACAAGAACCAAGGAAAATCATTGAAAAGATTGAATAAAAAACATATTTAACCTTCGATATGGCATCATATAAAAATAGTACTTGTGATTATGAATGGATAGATAAATAAAATGAAATAAGGTAAAACAATATGGATAAAGATAAAAGTAAATTAAGAAATGTTTCTTCGGTATACTTACGTATCACAGTAACATTAATCTCTTTTGTTAAATTGTTTTGATGTGTTGCACAGATATACTGTCCAGAATCCTCTGTTGTCACATCATCTATGATGAGGGTGGATGTTCCATAGTCCAATCCACTGTCATTTTTCAGGCTTTTGTTTAAGCCAAGTTTGGACCAAGTGATTTTAGATGCAGGTTTCACTGTGCAGGTCAGATTGAGAGTTTCACCCTCATCAACAACTGTCTCTCCAGTCATCTCCAGTGTCTTCACACCTTTAAGAAAAATATTTAATAATTTTTTTTTTACGCTCTGCTTTAGCCTAAAAACTGAAATACACACACATATCTATGAAGGGTCAAAATATGTTTTTACAATCTAAAAACTTTTAATAAGCTAAAAAAAAAAAAAAATAGTATATCCATTTCTTCCTGTAAAGTCAGTTCTTTCATTAGGCTAAAATGAAACGTTTGTCTCCTCCTACTGGCAGGTAGTGTAATTGCATGAAATAAACCAAACGAGCACCTGCAGGTACTGAGTTTAAGAGGAAGCTCAGAGGGGAGTCAACCTTCTCTGTTGCTGGTCCTCTTTTATGGAATAACCGTTGCAAATTAGGGAGGCTCCTTCGCTGCCAAATTTTAAAACTCAACTCAAGGATTTTGTTTATTCGCTGCCTTTAAAACTGGCAGGACTTCTTTTTTTTCTTTTTTTACCTCATTTATTTAGCTTAAGCAAATTCTTATTTTATAATTCCTTATTTCTTATCTTTATTGTGTTTTATCATTTTTTACTATTTATGTCCAGCACTTTGTTTTCAGTTGCTAGCTGTTTCAAAGTGCTCTACTGTACAAAGAAAGTTTATGATGGTGAATAAGTGGTAATATTTTTGTGGATATATTAGAGATGTTTCCTTATGTGCCAAACCATCTCACCAGATAAACTTATTGAACTAAAGTTCTGCTGCACAGATTCAATATCTAACAATTCTTTAAATAATAATCAATCATAAATAAAGTGGTTAAGTCTAATAAAATAACATTTAATCGTTGTTAAGCTGTTAATGACTTAAGCTTTCAAGACAAGTTTTCAGAACAAATTCTTCAAAAAAGTTTTATGCAGCGCTTTAAAATAATTAAAAAGATATCATAAAAAGGTGTTTTACTCACATGTTTTGTTGAGAATATCAGTATCATTTACTGTCTTGTTACTCGCTGTGTTAAAGGTATTGTTGGATCCAGTTAAATTACAGTTTAAGTTAGAGGATTCCCCATCAGGGCAGATGTCTGGAGTAGGAGTCAGATTAGTTACTTGTCCTTCTGTCACTGGAGGGATCATCGATGTGGGATTTGGACTCGCATCTAAAGAGGCTTAAACACAGAACACTCAATTTGAAAGGGAAATATGGTTAAAAGAAAGGAATCCTCTTTCATGCTTAAGTTTTAATGCTGTTTTAAATTTCCTTAGTCTAAAGTCAGAATACTTCCTGTTTGTCCTCACTTACTTTTTTTAAAATTTAGACCTGGTCTACATTTCAAAATGCAAAGCACTAAAAATAATTCAGAGGACTCCCAGCACCGTCAATACAGAGTTAACATTATGTTTTTGGTGGAAAACTCTGCAGCCAATTGAGACATTTTGAACAGAGCTGTATAGAGTCTTAACCAACAACATGTAATGCTATTATTTGGCAACTACCGGTATTAAAAGTAGCTTTAGGGTTTTGTAATTCGATTCTGCTTGAGTAATGGCCAGCACCAAAATGTTGAGTAAAGAATTGCAACAATAATATCAATGAAAAATTTTGAAAAGCAAACCACTTAAAGAAATTAATACACACTGATCGAGAGGCTTAAAAAAGATCATAATTGATCAAACACAATAGATTCGCAATGGGGCAAAAAGGGCATGTAAAATAATTAAACAAAAGTCTTCTTCACATATCCAAGAACATCGAAATCCGCTGTTCCAATTACTTCCATTGCCAAAATAGTTTAAACTAATAATAATGATAATAATAATAAAAAACACAGACAACCTACAGTATACCAACATTCTGAAATAATATTAAGCCTTATTCATTAATAATTTGATGTCACTTAAGTTCATACGTGTGAAAAAGTAAATGAGGAAACATTTTTTTTAATATGGCCTATTTGCATGAGCAAAGAGAAGTATAGCATGTATGTTTTTACATTCGTAACATTGATAGCTTTGGATAAAAAAATGTATGGTTACGGCAAAAGAGAGAATAAAGAATTTAAAATGATATTGAAATTCAAGACAGTTTGTTTGTTTGATCAAAAGATATTTCAATTAAAGTACATGTCATACCTAAACTGGAACTGATGTTTATCCATTTGAAGATCAGAGTTAGACAGATGAAAGAAAACATCTTGACTCAATCCTTCATTCTCTGGACGAAGAACTTTTACTGAACATACAGGTCAGGTACATATATGTCAGGAACAACTCATAAGCTTTCAGTACAGGTGTTCATTAAAGGATGTCTATGTAATTAATTTACAAGTTCAGAAATTTGACTACAGTAGTCAAACTTCAGTCTTATTTGATATATGGTAAGAATAATTCTAAGTCCAAAAAGAATCCCTGGTAGTACCGTCAAACTATGACATAATCTAGCATTCAGTTCCTAATGGATGTATAAATACATTTAAAAAAAACGTTTTCACCTGTATGTCTTTTTCCTCTGCATCTCTATCTCTGGTGATTGTTTAAATGTGTGACTCTTTCTTGACTTCCCCTTCCTCTTCCTTTTTTTGGTTTGCACACTTGTTGCAAAATGTTAGTGTCATTTTCACCAACCACTCAAGCATTACATGATACCTACTCCAAATTTGAGAGGTGTCTTTAGTATCTTTAAAATCATTATTATTATATTTTTACCTTAAATGTTTCACACAAGTAAAATAGCATTTTTTTTTCATTTGTTGATTGTAGAAAAAGGACATTAAGGGGAGTTTCTCACACATCCACACGTGTATAAAGAAACAAGAGGAAATTGGTCATCTTGAGAAACCAGTGATCTAAAGTCTTGTGTCATTTCCTTTATTGATGTGCATTTAATAATAGATTAAAACACAACAAGACTGTAAGGGAATCATGGCATTTATTGAGTGCATGGAAGGAAAACCCAGCTTACATCTTCAGGATGTAACTTTTTGGTTTCATATGGTGTGATACTGCAAATACTGTTCTCAGCAAAGTCATTGCGATGGATATTTCTGTACTTCCCCTGAGGGCATTACTGTATTTGTCCATTTCCTCTCCCCACAGCATTCTAAAGGTTAACATTTTCTTTTAAGTGCACAAAGAAACCAAAAAACAATGAATATTCTGTGAATTTACACACATTCAAGCATTGACTGCTGATCATAAGCAGGGAGGAGGAGACAAAGTGTGTTTCTCTTAAAAACACTCAACATTTAAACAAACGTCTTGAGCAATAGATTCCATTAACATAGCAAACTTGCATATCTCACATGCAAAAAAGGGGAAGTTTTTGATCAAGGAAAAGAAAACCTATATTTCAAAGAAAAGTACAAACCAGAATTTATAAAAGCAAAATTATACATGCATTAAAAACACCTAGTACTTTTTAACCATGACAAACAGAAAAAAACTTGCAAAAAACATTATTTTAATGAAAATAGTACTTAAAGATGTGTATCTTTGCAAAAAAGAAGCTTGATATTATTCCTCACACAATGCTTTGGCTTTGATGGATACTGTATATTTGCACACTGTACACTAAAGCCCCCCCCCCCCCAAATAAAGTCTGTTTCATTTACCGTAAACAGCTTTTGAAACGGGAGATAATAAGTGGACTAATGGGATAGTTGAAATGCAAACAGTCAAGGTACTAAAATCTTTTTTTCCAGTTTGCCTTTGCCAGTTTGCACTTACCTAATTGTCTTTATCTAAATGCTCCTCCATTTCTACTCTCTTAATCTCAGCATACTCTGTCTCTCTGGTGTTCTCCTCCTCTTTTTCATCCATAGGATTCTTCCCCTTTATTGCAGAGAAGTCAATGTCTGAGTACTCCGATTCCTTTGGAGACATCTCAGAATCTATCAAATTCTCAGCAGAGTCGTCTCCAAATTCTACTGGCTCTTGGTTCTGGATGCCATCATCCCGTAAGTCCAGTACTTCATCATCATGAACCTATCATGAGAATCCAAATTGAATATGTCAAATGATAGTTGATAAGTTAATAAAGAGTCAATGCATGATATTTTTTGAATGTGAAAGAAAGGAAGATAAAATAAACTACAAACTTTTTCAATAATACTCAACAAAGATGATTTTTTTTTTCGAAATTAAGGTGGAGAGCACTTGTCCTAACGTGAGAAGATTTTTGTTAACTATCGAAACTACTGGATAGTTTAGCTCTTTGTTATATCACAAAGTTGATCAATAATTCCTGTGCCATGACCCTTTATGAAGAATGTACTGTTCCAAGTTCCAAATCATAAGTGGTCTAAGGAAAATGGGTATCAAAGGTCATTATTGCAAATGGGGAGCAAAGGTTGTTTTACAGTAGTAGCCATTCAAAATTTCCCCACTTTCCTTGATGGGCCCTTGTCTGGTCCTTGGCTGCTCCCCTACAATTTCTTTTTAAACATCAATCTTTGTACTAAAATATTCTTTCTTTCATGATTTGTGGACATTAAGATCTAAAGAGAAGCATCATCTCCTGGCCAGACCCTGTAATTCAGTGGAAAGGTGGAGTCAGAGTAAAATAATATGCATGCCTAGGAGAAGGAGGGGGTTACTCCAGTGCCTGGAAGTTGGAGGGAATTTTACTGGGAGTTGCAGGGAAGTGGGCTGCCATTCGGCTGACATTTGACTGGGAAGGAGCATTTTGAATGGCTGCTACATTATGTGGTTTGGTCAAAGAAATCAACTCTTTAGCCAAACTGCAAAGAATGATTAATGCAGGTTCTGATAATAGCGGGCAAATATACAGTGCATTACCAGGTGTTGGATTCACGGCTGCATAGCTGCAGATTAGCCATAGGACCAATGCCAACCCAGCCATTGCTGAATAGACATTAGTCAGGTAAGTAAAAAAAAAAATGTAATCATTAAAATGCTTTAAACAATTCTTGGCTGTGAAACCTTTGGTCTAACCATCTGTGTGAATGACTTTCATACATATTAACTGCTTATGCGTTGTTACATTTACTGATGAGTGAAACCTATTTCAGGATGATATAGCATCATGCAGCAAAGCAAAAATAGTTCATGTGTATTTTGAGATGCATAACAAAAGACTTAATAAGCTCACTTGGCTTTTTGGTTACATGATCTTGATCCAGTAGAGCATCTGCGAAATTGACTGGATTGACAAACTCCTATCTTTGCTCTAATTTAATGTATTTTTCTGTGTCCGATTCAATTAATCTTTTTTCAAATTCTTTTTCCATTTATAGTCCTCAAAAGTGCTGCTGTTGACATCTTGGCATAAAATTGCACAGTCAATCTTTATGGGTCTAATGGTTCTGGGATGTTTTGGCATCAAAAGATTTTGTGTCTCTAAGATGTTGCTCACCAGACTCCATATATCAGCATCAAGATTTCATGCCGTTTTAATCACAATTCAGTATAGACATGATGGGGCAAAGTCAACGGCCCCTACTGTGGCCCAATTCTTTAAACTCTGCGAGCTGATAGATTCAGCTGATAGTGGAAGATTAAAGCCTGCTAACGCCACCATGGTATGCATGGTGTCTACCTTACAGCCTAAAAATCTTGACAACTATGTCACTTTAGGTCACAGAGGTCCCACATTTAGGCCACACTTTTAGAAGGTAAATGCATTTTATGCCCATATAAATGGGTCTTGTACCAGCTCAATGGAAGGACAATTTAAGCTGATATTAAATGAAAAATCTGTTTTTGCTTGGTATTTGGCTAAAAGACACTACTGTATGACAGAGAAACAGAATTTTTTAAATAGAAAACTGGAATTTTATGAAAAAATACATCAACGCAAATGATTCCAGACCATTACATTTATTTTCAGTTTAGTGAAATATTTATTTTAAACTAATGCGTTTTATTCTAAAGTAAAAGAGCACGAATTTAGTAAGCTGCATAGCAGAGCAAAACTGAAGATGAGATCTCTATTATGTCTCATTTACCTCTCCTAGATATAAACGAGAACCAATTGAGAGCAAAGGTGGTTTTTTCATGGTTTTGTGAAAAATAGGTTTCACCCTGATCATAGTTCTCAAAATTCTCTCACATCCATCTCTTTTCCTGACCTTACTAGGTGAAAGAAATTGTGCAGATTTCAATTGTGTCTCCATTTCGATTTCCTTAGTTTTTCATTGGACGCACAGTCTTACTCAGAAGCGCCAAAAGTGTTCAAATTTAGTACTCAAGCAAAGGTATAAATCCTACTATTTAGAAATACTTTTGTAGAAGTTAAAGTATCAACTTAAATGTTTTACTCAAAAGTGTAAAAGTACCATTTTCAAAACTGCTAATATTATAAAAGTAAAAGTTAATCAAGATAAAATGTTAAGGACAGAAGTTTTAAACCTTATACTGTACTAGTTACTACACTACACTATTAAAGTAACATGTTTCTACGATTCTGGAGAATAGCTTCCTTTCACTTAAGTTTGTTTCATAACTACTGGCAACAGTGTCAAATTTACCATTACACCATCTTGAAAAAAATATTTATTTTGGTCTGTGGCAAACAACAAGTTGGTGCAGCACTGTGTCCAACTACAAAGACATATATATATATATATACAGACAGACAGACAAATTATTTTGGTTTCTTCTTATTTGTTTTTTTTTAAACCAACACATGATAACGAAAATGAGTCTATTTTTTAAATGTATTGCAAAAATATATATGGAGTAGAAGTCAAAAGTTGTCGGAAAAATAATTACTTCAGTTAAGTATTGGTAGCCAAAATATTTACTTAAGTATTGGTGCAAAGGTTAAAATGTGTGAACTTTGAATGGAGTTTTGTAGTTAGACTCTTGCAGTTAGTTCTCAATGCAGCTGTTGCAGATTCAAATCCCAGTGTGTCAACCTCTGACATGTGTTCCCCTATTTCCTATCAGTTTACTCTCAAGTAAAGGTTACTAGAAGAAAGTCTCAATATTCATCACATGTTAAGCTCTTTAATTCACCCTCAAAAAACAGAAATAATGAAGATTAGGGGCATACCATTATAAGATCTCTTTTTGTTTGTCCCACATCTGAAATATTCCTCAAATTATTTTCTCAACTCATTCTCCTTATGTCTCTGTGATAACGCTTTCTAGCTTATCCTTTGCTCTTTCAAGGCCTTTAGGAGAAGTAATTCAGAAACAAATCATCACAGAACAATACGACTATGAGAAACTTAAAGGGGAACACCGTTTTTTTTTATGTGTGTGTATGACGTCATCCGTGGGGGCCGGCTACCATGCTGCTAGTTTTACTCACATGCCTGGAAGATGTCTTGTGCTACTACCACAGATGATCTCGCTCTTGAACAAACAATTACCTCATTATCTGGGACAGCAGCCATCTACAATTTAAGCTTCACATCAGCCTCCAGTTTGTTTAGGAATATTTTGTACATTCTCCTATCTCAACATTATCTGGGCTCAGATGTGGGGCTTGGAAAGGAATCGCTGGGAGTGACATTAGCTGGTTCCTAATAACAATCGTTTTGTGTCTGGCTCATAGAACGGCTAATTTTCACTCTCTTCCCCCTTGTTGGTACGGCTGTTGGCAGATGCTCAAGGTAGTTTTTCACTGAA